CCTTAAAACCTATAATTTGGGTCCCTTATAGGCAGATGGACGGCTCAGAGGTGCGTTTTTCCACTTCCTACACCCTATACAAGATAAATAAAATTATTTTTTGTTGCGATTTGGTTTTTCGCGATTATCTCGGAAACTATGAGAGATAGAGCCTTAAAACCTATTCCATTCGATTCCNAAGATAAATTAAAATAATTTTTTTTTGCGATTTCGTTTTTCGCGATTATCTCGGAAACTATGAGAGATAGAGCCTTAAAACCTATAATTTGGGTCCCTTATAGGCAGATGGACGGCTCAGAGGTGCGTTTTTCCACTTCCTACACCCTATACAAGATAAATAAAATTATTTTTTGTTGCGATTTCGTTTTTCGCGATTATCTCGGAAACTATGAGTGATAGAGCCTTAAAACCTATCATTTGGATTCCCTACAGGCAGATGGACGCCTCAGAATTGCGTTTTTCCTCTTCCGTGATTTTAGAAGGGGGTAAAGTATTGAAAGGGTTGATAAATGGAATGGAAAAATATAGTACATACAAGTACTATCCATGCTGAATCCTTGCTCATGAAAATTTTTTCCGTACCTTCATTTCCGACGCTGCACGATTTTTCCCGCACCTCCTACGTCTAGGGGTGCGGGGTACAAATGAAAATGAATGTAGTACATTCTGGTATTCACTGAGTACACTCGATACTATAAGAATGACAATCGATTTATCANATTACGTCTAGTGGTGCCTGGTAAAAACGAAAATGAATGTGGTACGTTCAGGTACTTACTGAGTACAATGGATACTATAATAAAAAAATCGATTTATCAAACTTCGACTCCAAATTCACACAGCTACCCTAAGCTGATCACAAAGAGGGATAATTGTTTTTCAATTGAAAAATAAACTTATTCCTTTTCATGCACAGTTCAATCCGTCATAAATATTTCAAAAAAAGTCAAATGTCCGTTTTACCCTACCGTCCCCTATTCAGTTGCCGTAACAAAAAAATTAGAAACTTAAATTTGAGCTATTGCAAGTCTTCTATTCCGAAGCAAAAGTCATTAATAAATCATTCAAGTTCCCTATTTGTCCTCCACTGCCACCCACAGCTCACCAAAAGACTAATACCTCTTCATTCTCCTTTCCAGAAGCTGGAAAAAACTCAAAGAAGACCAGTGACATCAAAGAAGAGTCGATGATCAATAAAAGTCTCCAATTGATCGGAGAGGCCTACATCTCTGACGACTCCCAGGAGGTCGTCTCAGAAGAGGAGACTGAGAAGACCCCCAAGGTGGTGTTCTCCTGCAAGCCTTTAGTAGACAAACATAGCAGTGAGCCCCAGGAGGACCCCACGTACTTCATCGAAGCTCCACTTGTGCCTCACGAGACTGAACCCAAAGAGAGTCCTAAACCTACCCCAACGACACCAGAAATAACAAGTGCACCTGCAGAAGCTCTTCCTGAAAATTCTGATTCACCAGCAGTAGTTCCAGATGTTGCCAGCAATCAGGAGGATAATCCCCGGGGAAAAGTGTCAGAATGTCCAGTGGATGAGGTTTCAGAGACTCCGTCAGGGGCATTACCTCCTGGGCATTGTCCCCAACCTCTTCCAGGGATCGATCAAAATGTTGCAGAAGCTAAAGTAGAATCTAAAGTAGAATCCCCTTCATTAACATCAGAAAATCCAATCGAAACCCCTGATAATCCCGAAGCAATCGAGTCTGAAACCCTAACAGATCTACCTATAGTCGAAAATAATGAGGCTGAGGGGCCAGAAGCACCTGTTGCAGCTCCTCCCCTCGAAGTCCCAAAACCATCCCCCAAAGAAATGCAAGTAGATTCTCCCCAGGAAATTCCAGAGCCCGAGGAACTGAAAACAGAGTCTGAACCAATGGAAATCACAGAAGAGGCACCTGGTGACTCTCCAGGAGAAGATGAACCTGACAAGAGTCAGGATTTCGTTGACCAGTTGGTGAAAGAGATTCCCCCCTCGTCAGAAAGAATTCTCAACGATGGGATTATTGAGCAAGAGAAAATCCCAGAAGTGGAGCCAGCAGTGGAAATTGATTCTGATGTTAATTCTTTAAGAGATCAGCAGACAGAGGCATCGCGAGATGTTGAATTAGAGGCTGAGGGGATGGAGGTGGAGGAGCAGGCAGAGGCACCTGCTGAAACTCTGACTGAAATAATAGAAGAGTTGACTCGAGTTGAGAAAGAGAAAGAGGAAATGGAGGAGGAATTGGTTCCTGGTACTAAAGAAGAAGAAGAAATTGAAGAGGAATTGGTTGTACCAACTCCTAAAGAAAAAGAAGGAATTGAAAAGGAATTGGTTGCACCAACTCCTAAAGAAGAGGAAGGAATTGCAGAGGAGTCGGCTCCATCAATTCTTAAAGAAAAAGAAGAAATTGAAGAATTGGTTTCACCAATTCCTAAAACAGAAGAAATTACGAAGGAATTGGTTCCATCAACTCCTAAAGAAGAAGAAATTACAGAGGAATTGGTTCCACCAGCCCCTGAAGAGGAGGATCCACCGCATGAAGAATCTCCCAGGAGTCCAGTAATCCTGAAAGAAGCTGCTGTCGACGATAAATCAACTTCTGAACCAGTTCCACCTCGGATTGAAGAAGAAAAACCTGTGGAAGAATCTCCTGCAGTTGAAGAAGCACATAAATCCCCGAAGAATCTGCTTGATGAGTCTGATCCTCTGAATGAACAACTAGAGTCCAAAGCTCTTGGAGATGAGTCCACCCCAGAAGTTCCTGATGTTAAAGAGATGCCAGAAGCTCAAGAGTCTCGCCCAGAAGCTCCCCAAGAAGATCTTAAAACTCCTGAAACTGATGTTGATCTCCAAGAATTCCAAGACAAAAATTCCGAGATTCTGGAGGAAAAGGCTGACGTTGCAGCCTCAGAGCCTGAAGAAACAATCCCAGAAAAATTCGAGAACGCTCATAGCCCCCAGGAGATACCCAAAGCAATCCCCGAAGTTACAGAACATATTTCCGACGTCCCCAAGTCCCCAAAAGAAGCCCCAGAGGACCTCCACCCAGAGAAGTCTCCCTCCTCTCCAGAAACCGATGAAACTCCTCCCCTCCTCGACAAAACTCCCGATTCCCCACCAGAATCCCCTCCTGAGGCTGCCTCCAGGCCCTCAGAAATGCCCCAAAATACCGAAGACATCGAGCTCTCGACAGCTGTTCCAGAGCCCGAGCCCCAGGATGACCTCTTCGAAGGCGTGATAGAGGCTTTCGACGACGTCCCAGTGATGCCCGAGGAAATCGACGAGGAAAATCTCGCAGATGATTTACCAAAGTCCCCAGACTCTGCTGAGGACCTGGAGCAAGAACTGATGTCCCTAGATTCCCCAATGAAGCACGTTGAGAGGACCTTCAACCTGGACCAGCAGGAGAAAATGGACATTCCAGATGAGCTTTTGGCAGGCCTTCCTGGAGACATCGACCCTCTGGCCTCGAACCCAGAGATATCAGAGCTGGAGTGTGCTGTCAAGTTCCTACAGGAGTCCGAGGTGCAGGAGATTGTGTCTCCCCTGGTGCTCTCCCCCAAACTCGACGATCACATCGAGGACTCAGGTGAGCCTGACCAGTCGTTCCCCCCTGAGGATGATCCAGGCGAACTGGAAGCCGAATTGGACGAAATTATAACAGATCCAATAGCTATTTCCGAGGCAGAGATAATATCGGAGGCAGCCAAGCTGGAGAGCGAGAGGAAGCTGAAGGAGGAGGCGAGGGTCTCCACGAAGTCATCAAACCCTGCAAGAGAAGAAGAAGAAAAAATTGAGGAGAAGCCTGTGGAGGAATTCCCAGAGGACCCGAAGGTCGAGTCAAAATCAGTGGAGCCTGTGCTCCAGAAATCCACTGGAAACCTCCCAAAAATATCAATCCTCGAAGAGCGTTTGAGGGAGCCCCCGAAGATCGAGATCCCCCTGGCAGAGCCCAGGATCGACACCCCAACCACCCCAAAAACAAGTCTCCTGATCCAGCGAGACCAGAAATCCACCTGTAAGATGCTGGACTCCCCGAAGTCTCGTGACGAGTCGAAAGCAGTGGAGACAGCTCGAAAGGAGCACGATAAACACGAGATCGAGAACATAGGCTCGCCCAGGATAATTCTGAAGATAGCAAAGTCAGCTATAGCCGACTGTGCAGAGCCGAGATCACCGAAGAGTCCGAAGATCCGTTCAGCTGCGAATTCCCCAAACCCAGAGGACAGCCCGGGGCAAAAACTGGGAAAAATCAGAATGAAGTTATCGAGGAGTGGACATCCCTCGATCATCTCCAACGAGACGACTGACGAAGTTCAGAGGACGGAGTCGTCCTCTCTCTCGCCCCTGGGAATGAAGATTAAACTGTCGAAGTCAGGTGATGCTTCAATCGTTCAGCCAGAGAAATTCGATCTCCCAGAGGACAGGAGGCTTGATTCCCCCCTGGGGATGAAGATAAAGCTCTCTAAATCAGGTGAGGCACCCCCTGATGACAGACGAGTTGATTCCCCCCTGGGAATGAAGATAAAGCTCTCTAAATCAGGGGAAGCCCCTTCGATCGTTCCACAGGACTTCAAAGACCTGCAGAAGCACAAAATCGATGTGCAGCAGTCGCCGAAGCGAACGGATTCTCCCCTGGGGATGAAGTTCAAGCTCTCGAGGACAGGTGACGCCTCGATAATCCAGCAGATTGATAAAGTCGAGGATGAGCCCAGGGAGATATCCCCGGAGACTCAGAGAAGAACAGAATCCCCTCTGGGGGTGAAGATAAAGCTCTTGAAGGGTGGAGACGCCTCGATAGTTCCATCAGACCTCGAGGAGGAGTCGAAGCGGACGGACTCCCCCCTGGGGATGAAGATGAAGATATCCAAGAAGAGTGGGGCCTCAATCCTGGACCCCCCAGCCTCGGAGAGCCCTAAGGACAAGCTGGAGGTGCCAGATCTGCCTCCTCGACGCACGGAATCCCCACTGGGGATGAAGATAAAGCTCTCAAAGTCCGGTGACGCGTCGATAATTCATCCTGAGGTGGTAGAGGAGTCCAATCAGGAGAAGGCCAAAGCAGAAGGGCCTCAGGTGTCTCCAACGGTCCCTGAAGCCTTCGCTTCCTCAATCGGAATGAAGATAAAACTGTCGAAAACAGGTGATGCCACCATCATTCATCCTGATAAGGACGACATCGAGGTGACCCTGGACTCTCGCAAGACAGACTCCCCCATTGGTGTGAAGATCAAACTCTCCAAGAGTGGGGATGCTTCTATCATCCAGGCACCACTGGAGAACGAGGGGAAATCGATGCAGAAGTCGCCGGACACTTCGGGAATTGAGTCTATGAAGATTAAGCTGTCGAGGAAGGGGCATCACACGATTGTCACCAGTGATGCTGAGCATAAATCCAAGGAACCACCTGAGGTTTCTGAAGTGACTATTGAATCGATAGTGAACAAGCCCGCAGAGCACGAGTCGCTGAAGCGAAGGGAGCCAGCTGTGGCTCCTGTTGAGGTGAAAAAGTACAAGTTGGAGGCCAAACTCTCCCACATTCTTCCAGACGTGACGATCCAGCCAGTCGCTCCTAGGGAGCACAAACCCCAGTCGTCGGGAGCGTCAGCCATCAGCAGACAGCAGATGAACGTCATCAGTCGAGAGATCAGCATCACTCAGGTGCGCTCGCTGGCTGAGGGCTTCAATCAAGTTATTGAGAACGATTCTGAGGATGTGGAGATTATTGAGCCACACCCAGAGCTCATTATAGTGAATGAGAACTCGAATTCGAGTCAGGATGTCATGATAATTGACGAGGTGCCAGCGCTGAGGGTTCCAGAGGTCAAGATCCCGAAGAAGAGGGGGAGACCCAGGAGAATTGGACTGCCTGTGGTGGAGGTTGTCCCTCAGGATCCGCTGGCCCTCGACGAACCGGTGAGCTCTGTTGAACCGAAGGAGAACGAGAGGCCTAAGAGGACCTGCAGTCGTCAGAAGAGTTATGCTCCACCCAAGAGGGGCCGGGGACGGGGCAGGGGGAAGAGGAAACTCGATAGGACGGACTATCTCGGCGCCAAGAAGCCCAGGATTGAGCAGAATCTCAGCATCATCGAGAGCAGAACCACTGCGTTGATCAATTTAGATGATGAGATTGCGTCTGAAAATTCATCGGAGCTTTACAAGGTTCTGAGCCATCCGCTGAAGGAACAGGGACTCGAGGTGGAGGCTTTGGAGATGGATGCTCGAGCTCCACTGGAGGATCTCGGGGACAAGGGAAAGATGGAGGAGGGGAAGGAGGGGAAGGAGACCTTTGGCGCTCCTGATAGCCAGAACTGGCTCACGCCTAGCTCCAAGAAGATTCTCGAGGGGAGGAGCGATATTTCTACGGTGCAGGTTATCGATGAGGAGACCAGGATGAGTGCTGAGTCATTTTCGAGGTCACAGACACCTGCTAGGAGCATCTCCGCACATGGTGAGGGTTTTTTTTTTAGTAGTGGTGGGGCACGATTTGAACAGATGGGCTAATGGAGGCTTGCTCCCCGGAAAATCGTTCCTTGTAAAATTTATTTCGGGAAAATTGTCCCCCAAAAACAAAAGTTACGTTAAAAAACTGGAAAAAATAGTCTCAGAATGAAAAAAAAAATCTCCCTTTCACAGGTTTGAAATTATGGAGAATATTAGGATCACAATGACATCAAAATCAACATGGAATAAGTTAAATTTATCAGATACTAATTCAGATGAAGGCAAGTAAATGAATTGCAAAATCGAGCAGAAAGGAAAAATAAAAATAATGTATGGGAAATATGGGGAACATTGTTCGGGGAAACAATTTTTTAGGGCACGATTTTTCGAATAAAAAAATAACATAGAAATTTAAATTTTAATAAAATAGAGATTTTCCGAATCGAAAAATAAAAATAACAATTTTCCGATGAACTGGTATCCTAGAACTTTAATGGAGAATTCTAGGAGAACTGTAGTGATATTTTATTGGCAATTCCATTTGTGTTTTGAGTTGATTAAATTTCGCTGTGAATTTTTCAGTAGATATTTGATTGGAAAAGGCAATAGATGTTGATTTTTCCGTCCAATTTATTTTGTTCGGATTGATTTATAAGAATTTTTGGTGAATAATTTTAGAATTTCCATAGACAAAATGTCATGAGATTAATTCATTCAGAAAAATAAAATCCTATTGAATTTTTTTCTGTCAAATGTTTATTGAAAAATGGAAAACTAAAGTTGCGTGATTTTTTCATCGCATTTTGTTAGAATTCTCATGGAACTCCAATAAAATTCCTATACAATAGAAAAGGAATAGAATTCCTTGAGAAATTACAATTCATAATTTCCAATTGTGAACACAATTTTATAAAAACAAGGCCTTCTCACATTTTTCAATATTTTTTAATTAAATTTTTCTATACTGATTATTGAAAAATTAAATACCAAAATTTAGAATTTCTGTAGATAAAATAACATGAGATTAATTCATACAGAAAAATAAAAATCTAATTAATTTTTTTCTGTCAAATATTTATTAAAAAATTAAATACGAAAGTTGCGAAATGCAATAGAATTATTGGATAATTTAAAAATAAAAAACACGTTATCCAGCTTTAAAAATTATGCAACTTTGGTATTTAATTTTCCAATAGAATTTCTGTTCAATTTGTGTATAAAACCAAGACATTTCTTCTCACACGTTTAAACTATATCTTCCCATACACGACCCTAACAATTAAACTAAAAAAAACTCAACCATTTACGCTCGTCCACCGAATATCCCCATCCATCCAAATTCAAAAACTCTTCAAGTGACATTAAACTCCACCGAACTCCCTAATATCCCTATTGGTAAGTCTCCAACCGAGACATCTAAAAATACACATTCACCCGTCCGATATACACGGTGCTGCGCGGCTCGCAGACGTATACCTGTCCCCCTCAGCCAAAAACCTCCGAATCCCCCAAAACTTCCCTAAACAAAGTCCTTCATTTTCACAGCTGGTGAGCCAATAGTCAACGAGGAGTCCCAGGGTAGTGTCTTGAGCACAGCGACAACTGAATCCGAAAAGGTCAAGGTGAAAAATCGCAGAATGGAGATTAACTTTGACCCAGACGAGGGTCCCTTCACAGTTGAAAAAATAGCTGAGTACGAGTGGCCAGTTGATCGTAAAGGTGACACCTTCATGATTCAAGAGCAGATATCCCAGTACCTTGGAGTTAAATCCTTCAAACGAAAGTATCCAGACTTGAAGAGACGAATGGTGGACATGGAGGAGAGAAATCATTTACGAGAGAACGGTCTCGTCAGTGAATCCATGTGCGACATGGGTCTAACTGCTGTCTGCAGCTCCGAGGTACTCGACATAATGTGCAGTGATTTTCCGGATCAGTACGAGGAGTACAGAAAGCACATGAGGGAAAAGCAGATTAAGGAGCACTCGAAGAAGCAGAAGGAGTTGACAGCTGCTGCCAATGCTGAGAAGAATAGAATTGATCTGGCTGAGATGGCTGTGCAGTCGGCGCTGTCCTGGAATGTGGGCTTCAACAAGGCGAGGAAGGAGTCCAGAAAGTGCAGTTTAGATCTCCAGACGTTCACCATTCATGTGCCCAAGAAGCAGCAGAAGGTCGAGAACAACACGAGCATCAGTCATTATCCAGTTGCACTGATTCCTGGACAGTACACGGATTATTACAGGGAGTATACACCAGCTGAGCTGAGGTATTACCCTCTCAATACTGTTCTGTATGGCCCCATGAGGCCCAACGAGAGGAAATTCGACAGCCAGTCTGAGGGCTCACAGAGTGACAGCGACAGTGACTCCTCCTCGGACGATTCCAGCTCATCCAGCAGTGATGGCACTCAGGACACTGAGGGCTCACAGTCCACCATGGACGATGTTGATATTGAATTGTCCAATCAGAAGGACAAGTCACTCAAGTGCAAAATGTGCTTGAAGAATTTGAACAAGTTCAATAAACCCGAGGTGCAGATACAGTGTGGCACTTGCAATGGGTATGTTCATCCTTCCTGCATTGATCTCACACTCGATATGGTACCCCATATTCAGGGGTATGCCTGGCAGTGCACTGACTGCAAAACCTGCGCTCAGTGCCATGATCCTGCTGATGAGGACAAGATGCTGTTCTGTGATATGTGTGATAGAGGGTAAATATTTTTTTCGTTTCGAGGGGATGATTTGTCATGGTTTGAATTGGAGTTTTGGATTTTTGGGGTTATATTTTGGGTTATATTCAAAAAATCCCAAAATGCAATTTATGTAATTTTTAATTTTATTTTTTTTCTATTTTTTTTTAATTCAATTTTATTGGAGTTTTTATTCAATTGATTTTTTTTTAATGAAAGTATTGTTGAGCCCTATCCATCGAGTTTATATGAAATTTAAGCCATATTTTTTATTTTTAGATTTATCGAATTGAAAAAAAAATTGGTTGTTCCATGATAATTCAAAAAATATTCTGAATTCATTGAATGAGAGCTTGAAAAAATTGTTTGGATGTCTCTGTGACGGAGTTTGAAGATGAAGGCGATAGGAATAATCGTCGATTTAATTGATAGAGTAATCAAGTTTTTTAATTTATTTTTTGTCAAATGTGCAGCCACTGCATAAATTTCAATAGAAATTCAGTAATTTTAACTTTTATTTCAGTTCTAAATTCAATTATATTTCAAGAGAAAATCAATGGCGATCCAGTATAATTTTAATAGAAATTTCAATTTCAATTAAAATTATATGAATAAAATGTTATAATTATATTGAAAGAATTGGAATTTAACTTACTAGTGGGATTCTAACGAATGCCAATTTTAAAAAATGCTAGATTTTACCAACAATCCGATGAAATTTCAGAACAAATCACCTGGAAATCCAACATAATTCCTAAACAAAATTTTCAATTAGCTTTCTCCATAAATCTTAACTCTCAAAATTACTCTGGACCAATTTGTAATGATTCCTGATGTATTTTTCATGCTAGCTATCACATATACTGCGTGGGTCTTCGAAGGGTTCCACAAGGACGGTGGCACTGCCAGGAGTGCGCCATGTGTGCAAGTTGTGGGTCTCGAGAGCCTGGAGGTATGGTATGTGCAGACAGAAACAGTGTGGCCCAGTGGCAACACGAGTACAAAAAAGGGGACAAAAACACCAGAATTTACGTTTCTACGCTCTGTGTGCCTTGCTCAAAGTGAGTAATCATTGATATTCCTCATCGCTAATTATTAATATCCCTTGTAATCATCTAATGTGCCAGTTGATCCTCACTAGTGAAATCATCATCACGGTGTGAAAGATTCTGTCATCGAGGCTTTTTTTTCCATTGCTTTTTAAGATTAACAGAAATGTCGAGTTGTGCTGGACTTATAAAATTAAGGATATCCAAGGATTTTTTGCAGTTTGGTACAGACCGCAGTGTATATTTAATCCTTTTCCATCATCAAAAAAATAATAAAATTCTGAATTTTCATATATTTGTTACGATTGTGAACCAATGATTTTTATGGTGGAATATTTATTGTTTATAAATTTTCAAAATTGCAAAAAATACAATTTTTCAATTATTTCATCAATCTTCCTCCAAAAGTAAACTTTCAATTTTTTTTCCATATTTTTAAGATGTTTTCTGACGGTTTAATATCGAGATTTAAATTCAGACCTGCGATGTTTAAATGATAAAATCATTGTAAAATGTGCGCAAACTTTGACTAGAGATGTAGAAAGACATTTCTCTGGAGAAAAAATAGCTAAAGTACTTGGATATCCTTAAAGCCTGAGAGTTATTTCCTCTGGGTTTATGAATATGATGTGCTAACTTATGTGAGACTGTGAGATTTGGTCAAAATAATGATTAGGGCTTTTCACTAACTCATTAATCATTTATCACGTTAATAAGGCTGTGGAGGAAGGGTCGTTATTGCCCTCATTGCAGTCGATGTCATACTGCACCAAGGCTCGACCTGGAAGAAAACCTTGTGCACTGCAGTGCATGCGACAAATATCTGCACTTAGGTATACTTATATCCATCATCATTAGAGTTCAGAGATAGACTGCAAATTTTCACCTAGAATGCATGCTTTATTCCTCACTCGATGATTTTTCATTTTAGGTGATTGGTATTTCTGTCATTAATTTTTAGTTAATACGTACGAAAAAAATTCGATTGGAATGACATGAAGCGAGTGAATATATTTTTGCTCATAAATTTGCAATTTGCTTCCGAATGGATTCTCTTTTTTTCATTGTTATTTTACTATTCTCTTCTTCTATTATCAAATGAAATGTTATCAAAATTTTGCGTAGCATTTCGTTTTGTCAAATAATTTTACATTCAGACCGTCTTAAGACTCGAATTCGTTTTTAGTCCGGATTTAGCCAGAGTTTAACTCAGGTTGTGTCAGAAGTTAGTCGGGACCATGAATCAGTATGAATAAGTATTCAACATAATAGACTGGTACCTGAGTTTAATAGAGATAAAGATTTTGATATAAAAAGCTCATGACGGTATTGTGTAACTTGATAAGCAATGATACTGTTCTCACAATTTTTCAACTTGATTAAGAAGGCATTTAAATATACTTTTCAAGCCCTGATTCAATTGCTATTACTGATGGTTCTTTCAGTAATCATGAAAAAACCGATTTTCTCTTTCAAATCGCATAAACAATGTGCTGTAACAACAACGAATTGTGCGACCCCCATCATATTCTGTTAGAATCAAGAGGGTATTGGTATCAATTTTTTAGTCAACACTAATTCCATTTTGATGACAATTTTTTGAGGGGTTGTTGAAAAATCTATTTTTAGAAAAATATCAATTTTTTCAAATCTGTATGAAAAATTTAATTTTAATTGGTGTCAATGAATAGAGGTTAAGTTAATTAAAGTCTACATTCATGTACAAATTCGTAAAATTCGATTGATCCTTTATAAGAAAATTTCGAAAAAACAATTTGAAAACTTAAATTTGAGTGATTACAAAACTTCCATTCAAAAGCGAAAAAAGTGCTGTTTTTTCATAAAAATTTTTCGTACGTGATATCATGGACTATTTTCCACTATAATTAAGGGTTTAGCCATGAATTTTGTGTTTGTCATGTTAGAAAAATAATATCCGATCTTTCGAATAAAACAACGAAAAAATATTCAATTTCTCCACAGACTGTTTGGAGAGCAAGGATCTGATAATAAATCGGAAAAATTACCAGTGTGATTACTGCATACTGAGCCGACAGCAGATGGGAAAATCTTTGGTATCCAAAGCTTTCAAGTGAAGACCAGAAAAGACAACCATATGTAATTAGTTTTCGTCTGTGTCTCAAAGGCTGTTGATTCATTACTTGTTGTATTTTTTAAATCTATTTTCCACACTGGCTGAAGATATTTTGATTAGTATTGAAGACGTCCATCATTGTTATTTATCAGACTAGCCAATGATTTCACATTGAGTGATGATTATCGTTTCATTTTTACATGTCTCGCACGATCAATCAAATCCTCCATTGAACATACATTAATTATTTTCTATTTTGTAAGAGAGTTCATGCGTACATTCACTAGAATTAAGAATTCAATAAATGATTGTGACATTTGGAAAGATAATAATGCAGACAACTTCTTCAAAATATATCTCGTTTTATTTTCACATAATGTTTTCTCACAACATGCTTATAATCCTGGCATTGGTGTGTTTTAGTTTGAATCGAATGTGAACTGCCCTCGAATATTCACTGTTCATTCTTTTCCGAGAGTTCATTATCGTTTTTGTTTTCAACTTGAAAAAAATCTTTCGATTCAATCGTGAGGTTCAATGGCATGATCACGACGATCAGTTAATCATCTCTGGGGAAATGATCCTGATATTGTCTCGGGTTGAAATACATTTCCAAATGATGCCATTTTTAGATAATGAACTTGCAGTATTTTTTATTCAAGTCCTCGTGGATAAAAAAATAAAATAAAGAAAGTATTGTGAAATGTTGAGCAAAAAATAACGATTCCAAGTCCCAACAAAATGATGTTTTGCTGATTCACGTGTGATTTTATTCTTGACTAGTCGAAAAGGAAAGGGGAATTTTTTCCATTTCCTTGGGAGAGACGAGTCTCCTGGACTGATCGAGTGAAGTTTATTCGAGGCCCCCAAGATAATTAAATCGTCCCAGCAATTGGCATTTTTAACAAAACAAAAATACAAACATATTGAAATATGAGTTTTTGTTCTTGTCTCCTATTTAAATTCCTTTGTGTAAATAATTAATAATTGACCAGTTTATTATTTCTTTTGCGCGAATAAGAAAATCTCAAGGGAGTAATGATATTACTCGTGTCTGACCCCACACACGGACAAGAAGGTACTGAAATTATGCAAATGTGTTGTTGGTACGATTGTTGGAACCAAGTTACGATTTGAAAAATTATCGAGAACCCTTCGAATCATGCTGGGCCCCGGTGAATTAGCAGCTTTGTAAAAAATACGTAAATTACAGGTTGGATTTTCACTCTTCGAGTCTTTAGTTAATTTAGCGAGGAGATACTCGAAGGCCTCAGTTAGCTCGTCATCCGTTAATTCAGATGAATTTAACGATGTTTCGGTTGCCAAGTTTCCAGTCGAATTGGACGACCCTGGAAAATACGTTGACATGGGATATTTATCATTAGTTTACGTCATTTTCCGGGTGTATATTGGAACTTTTGGATTATTTATTTCGGTGGTTAAGGAGAAACTTTAATGCATTTCAATTGAACGTTATGATGGGAGTTCAATCAGGAAGAGATGATTCAATGAACTGTGGGTCTTATCATTTTTACAACGTGCATTTTTACCTTTATAAGCATATCCAAGTATTTTTTAAATTTGTCAATGAAATTGCGTGAGAACAATTTGAAAAAAATCACGAATATTTAGCGTTATTCAAAGTACATTTTGCACAGAATCATTATTTTTTTTAACAATCGGTGCATATGAATAAATAAATAATTGAAATTGTTTAAACTTTCGGAAACCTCATTTTTTCAGGCATGAAATCTATTTCTGGCAAAATTCTGAATATGAATAAATTTGTTACGATTGTTTATAAATTATTTATAGAACGCTCGGAATTTTAAAAAACTGTCATTCTTAAATTATTTCATCAATCTTTCTCCAAAAGTCAACTTTCTAATTTTTCTTCAGATTTTTAAAATGCTTTCTAACGGTTCAATATCCAGATTTAAATTCAAACCTGCAAAATTTAAACAAGCCATTCCGGAATGACAATATCTCTCATAAAGTAATCATCATCGTCATTGTTCTATTTAAAAAATCATTTCTTGTCATGCAATTAAAAAATTTCAAAATAAAATTACATGTCTCATTCTCAAAAATGGTCAACAAGAAAAGTTTCCCCATCACCATTAATTTATAAACCCAAAATACTCACTCGTCGACAAGTAACAAACTATCGCCGAAACATCATTCTCGTAATTCCACCTTCTCCGTATTGCCACTTTGAAATTCCCCACACACCTCCCAGTTTCTTCATCTAAACAAAAATTTATCATGAATCAATATTTCCACATAACTTTAAGGCAAATAAATATGGAGGACCAGAGGACTCAATAATGAACAGAAAAATCGCGAGATAAATCATGAAATAAATATAAGAAAAAACTCACATTCAAATCTATTGTTATCCCTATGTGCCCAAACCCACCACTCGACGTGGGCGTTGCGGGGCAGCTGAGGTACAACGATGTAATCAACAATGGCATTATTGGTTCGTTTCTCCCACTCCTTCCTGGCCTCTGCGATATAACTGTGATGCGTCAAGAAGCAAATCCCCTGAACAATATCTCTCAACTGTGTCGACGAGTCCATCGCATTGACAATGCGATTTATGTGTCTGAGGGTCAGGCGACACTGTCTCTTGATATTCATATCAAGGAGTGATAAATTACCAGGTACCATGGGTATTTGTCCGGCTACGGCTATTATGTGTCCGATCTATCGAGGCAATGAAAAAAACAAAAAATATATTATGATTCTTTTTCAAAATTCGAATGGAATTTTCTTCTGATATTCTATTCTATAATTTTTTTTCATGTATTTTTTTTTCAATTGTTCGTTATAAAACTTAAGAAAAAAAATTGGAAAATTCATGCTCAAGCATTTTATTCTAGACATTGGGATAAGGTTTATCCCAAGACAATACCACCCAAAAAATTAGTCCCTATGGATTTTCTGAAAAAAAAATTTCATGCTGATGAGTTTAACACTTCAGTTTTAATGCGAAAAAATAGGCAAAAATTGAGTTTTTATGTTTTTATGCATCAAAAAGAGGTTTCGGAGGAATCAAATTTTCAGAAATGTCCTCATGCATAATATGTATGCAAATCTAACTAGCTGAATTGAAAATTTTCAAAAATTAGTGATTTTTCGAATTATTTATTCCGAGCATAATGAGAAAAATGATGACAAAAATCTTTAAAAAAATCATACCTGAATGATTCATTATGTACCTCAATTTCTTAATAATTTCGAAACACAAAAATTGAAAAACCCACAAAATGAAGATTTTTAAAACTCCTCAGTTGTGAAGATTCCACCAGTGAAAAAAATCAAAACCTAATTTTTTCTTATATTTTCACCTGAGAACTGAAGTGGTAAACTCATCAGCCTCCCCTTAATGAAAAATTGCACGACGAAATTGCACAATTTTAACAGAAATTGGCAAAAACTTAATTTCTCGTAAGAATTCAAAATACTTTTCCATAGTGGATTTTAATTCAAATTACCTTCTCGTCTACGAACTACATTATTTTCGTATTATCGTCCGGAATTTCGAAAATTCTGGATGTACCAATGAAAACCCAATAATGAAAATTGTCTTGATGAATCAAAGAAGAAAAAAATTACCCGAACAGCTTGTGAATAAGGTCCGATGCTGGCAGGTGACCAATGGCTGATACTCTGCACATGCATCGTGTGCTTCTTCAAGACCCTCTCATCATCATTCTGATGGATTCCCTTGTAGGCCAGTGCATCGATAATTACAGGTACATTAATGGGACACTGTATACACACCCTAACTGGAGGATTCATATGTGGTAATCTCGTTGTGTAAACGTCATTAATTGTAGTGAACTGAGACAAGTCTTTGACGTACATCGTCACACCGACAAGATTCGTCATGTCAAGGCCCTCGTGCTCAACGAGATCTGAGGATAAATAGCGCCCCCAGAGTCATGGATCTTTGCTGTCATACAATGAGACAACGGGAAAATAATAATTCAAGTAAAGTTTACCTACTGCTTAATTTATCGAGTGCCTCTTCCACAGCTACTTTTGTATCACTGCCTTTTCCTATGATGCCACCGAACCAGTGCCATCCAGTCTTACTTCTATTGGCCATTGGAATATCTGGATAAACCTCATCATCGCACTTCGATTCTGTTGGACTAGGCGGACTAAAAGATCCTGAATTATAAAAATTACATGTTTTTTTTATTTAAATTTTTCGATGAATGTAGGTATTGTTGCTAATAAATTAGCAAGTTGCTTGCGAATCGGTTCTCTTTTTTAAAATTCATAATACAATCAATTGAAATGTCAGCAAAATTTCGGGTATTATTTCGTTCTGTCAAATAATTCTACATTCAGACCCTCTCAAGACTCGAATACGTTTTCAGTCCGGGTTTAGTCAACGTTCAATCCAGGTTTAATCAGTATATAGCCGGGATTTAATCAGGGTTTATTCAGGATTTAGCCAGAGTTTAACCCAGGTTCTGTCAGAAGTTAGTCGGGAGCATGATTCAATATGAATAAGTATTCAACATAATAGACTGGTACCTGAGTTTAATAGGGACAGATTTTTTGATATCAAAAGCTCATAACGGTATTGTGTAACTTGATAAGTAATGATGCTGTTCTCTCCATTTGTCAACTTGATTAAGAAGCCATTGAAATATACTTTTCAAGCCCTGATTTAATTGCTATTACTGATGATAATTCATTCAGTAATCATGAACAAACAATTTTCTCTTTCAAATCGCATAAATAATGTGCTGTAACTCAACAACGAATTGTGTGACCCCCATCATATTCTGATAGAATCAAGAGGGTATTGTTATCAATTTTTTGAGCCATGACTAATTCCATTTTGATGACAATTTTTCAAGTGATCGTTGAAAAATCGATTTTTAGAAAAACATCAATTTTTTGAATCTGTATGAAAAATTGAATTTTAATTGGCGTTAATGAATGGAGCTTATTAACGTGTGTATTAATAAAAAATACATGAAATTCAATTGATCCATTATAAGAAATTTTTGAAAAAAATGAATAAAAAAAGACCTCATACATTCGGACTTTTTAAACCATATTTAATTACCCTAACACGAAAAATTGGAAACAAGGATATCCAAGTACTTTGGCTATTTTTTCCCCAGTGAAATGCTTTTCTACTTTTGTAGTCGCACATCAGAGCTTTTATTTGAGCCCCATTTGACCCGAAATTTTCGGACATTTTACAATGATTTTACTCTTCAAACTTTGCAGAGCTGAAATAATTTATAATTATAAACAATTAATTTGTTAATTAAATAAAAGATGCAACAATTTATAAACAATTAATTTCCCACCATAAAACTCATTTGTTCGGAATCGTAACAAATTTATTCGTATTCATAATTTTATCAGAATCCATTTCATGCCTAAAACCATAAGGTTTCCGAAAGTTTAAACAATGTCAATTATTTGTTCATAAACAACGAATGTTTAAAAAAATTAGAATTCTGTGCAAAATGTAATGTGAATGACACTGAATATTCACGATTACTTTTCAAATTTATCTCACGCAATTTAATTGACAAATTTGATGATTGAAAATGGCTGCATCTATAGTTTGTACCAAACTGTAAAAGATACTTGGACATCCCTAAATTTGAGGGATTACAGCTTCCATTCGACAGTAAAAATAAAGTATAAATTCACCAGAGTTTGATGACTTGAGGCTCTTGCTATCCCCATCAGTCTCATCATTCTCATTATCCGACAAGTTGCATCCGTCCTGCATCTCAGGACCAACAATCTCAGCAATATAATCATACGGTGTCTTCACCGGTATACTTTTAAGTCTCTCGTGGAGTGTGAGATTCTCCAAGTCCCCCTATCAAAATAATTCCCCCAAAATCATAATTATCGATGCATTGTGTAAATACGAATTCATTAATAAATAAACTCACAGCTTTATCTTGCAAATGTATTTTCTTAAAATTGAGATATCCAACTGGTGCTATTTTATCGTCAGAGTGTACCACGCTCTCATACTCGTCACTAAAAATTAAAAAAACATGCCAAAAGATAAAAGAAAAGTTGCACTCATTGCACACAAGTGGTGATGATTCTTTTATTTGTCTTGGGAGTGATAAAAGACTCACATGACGATGCTTTTGATAAATAGTGGGCAGTCTAGGGTAAATGTCTCGTACTCGCCGCCCTCTCCGCATACGTTTATCCCGTATCTATCGTTCTGGAGATAAAATGAGTGACCCATGATAATTCAAGTCTTTGTGTTTTCAATTTTACGAGTTTGCAGGCATGAATTTTTTTTTTGCTGACTTTCATCGAAAATTTTGGATTATTTTTGCATAAAACTCGTGGTATTGGGAATTTTATACAGAAATTTTCAGATTCTCGATAAGGAAATTTATTCTTTTTCTTTATTTTGTAATGAGAAATGAAAAAAACAGGATTAAAAACTTGAAAAAATTATGCTAAAATATGTCTACATAAAGAATCTCAAAGAATAATTCATATAAAAATTTCAAAAGCCATTGACACATCTTTATTCTAAAATATAAAAATAAATAATGGAATTTTCCAAGCTTGAACGAATGGAAAAATTATTTTTTTGTTGATTTCCATTGAAAATTATGAATTTTTTTACATAACTTTGTTATTTTGAAAATTGAAAAGTTGATAGATGCTAACTTTTGTAAAAAACTTATTGTATTGTGATTTTGATACAGAAATTTTTAGCTTCTCAATAAGAGAATTTATTTATTTTTCTTTGTTTTTCTAATGAGAATCAGAAAAAAACAAAAACTTATGCTAAAAAATCTAGATAAAAATCTCAAAGAAAGAAAATGCTTTTACAAAAAAATCAATAAAAACTACTGGAATTTCCTGCGTTTGGATGCACAAAAAAATCATTTTCTGCTGATTTCTTCAAAAAATTACGAAATTTTGCTGAGAAATTTGATAATATTAAAAGAATAAATGAGTCATTAGATATTGAATTTATTCAAATTATATTATAGCGATTGTTATACAAGAATTTTTTTTCTTTGATTTTTTTAAAAATCTCAGAGAATAACTCCTTCAGAAAAATAAGAAACCATCGGCTTTTTCCAAAAATTTCCCCAAAAAATTAGATTGTCTTCATACATTTGAAGTTCATCTCCACCCAAAAATTCATTTGAATGTGAAACGAATAAAATATCAGAAATTCCCTGGCTGATATATATTTTTTAACAGAAAGAAACCGTTGATAGCGCATCACCAGAAATAAACCTGCGAGAAGTAAGGGAATACCCGAAGGATTGGAAATATTCCAACTTTGAATTAACGTTTTGTCGTTGAATTCCGAGCCAACAAGTGCTCCTAAACCCTTAAGAGGCATAAAAATTCGCTAAGCCTTATTAATCTCTAGTGTTCAAACTCACCAGAATGCCGAGATTGTGCTGCATCTCAGAAATGCTCTTCCCCAGATGTTTGGGCTCAAGACCTTGACACGCGACTTTAATAATGACAGCATTGAGTGAGCACGCGATCATCTCCTTCAACAATTCGTCCTGATTCCTGCGCCACAGATATGCCAGCGATATCAATCCCAATCTGCTGCACCTGAAATAAAAATAAATGTTCAATTATTTCGATTTAACGAGTCACGATAAATACTTCATGAACAAATAATTACACATTTTCAACACGAATTCGCTGATAGTCACTCAAAATAGCACCGGATGCAACAGCATTGATGTTTTCCTTCTCCTAAGTGCAAAATATACTTTAAATAAATATAATCACGTATGAATAAACGATAAATCACGAGGTACGTTACCTTGACTTTAGCTAGAAGCCTGTACAAATCTTCCACTTCGTCGTCCTGAGTGGGTGAATAGTATTTTTCCCTCATGCATGATTTGCCGAAGGTCGGCTCTCTGTATAGTGGCAGACCCATGGCCTTACCCATGTACTCAACCCCCTGATGGCCAACAGTTTGATACATATATGAGTCCAGCTCATCTGGAAAGCATCGTCATTTCGGGAAATCACTATCAATGCATTTTTTCATCTCGTGATTTCGATAGAGAATTTCTATTGAAGAGAATTTCATTGAATTTCTATTGAACTTCTATTATTTTTACAGAAAAAATCAGGAAAATTTCATGTCTTGACTAAACTTTTTCTATTGAGACTTGTCTGTAGGAATTCCTCGACATGAATTTCACAAATTTATCCTACTCTATTTTTCTTTTTTTTTCATTAAAAAAATTAAACAAAACGAAAAAAATTTGAGCAGAGGGATTTCTATAGAAAGTATCCCAATATTTTTTTTTGAATGCGTTTCATAGAAAAATTGAATACTAATGATTTTTCCGATAGAATATTTTCCATTGAACATTTCTGTAAAAAAAATTCTGCGGATTTTTTTCAATAGAATCACCCAAACAAGTGAAAATTCAGTAGAAATCCAACAGAATTTTCTAGCGAATTCATCAGGTCTAAGACAAAATTTATAATAAAATTGTAATTATAATTATTATAATTATAATTGAAATTTATAAATTTATAATTAAATTTTTTTTCGTACGTTATCTACAAATTTTCAATAAGACCAGGACACCTAAAAAATCATTTGAAAGCTCATTCCCACCAATTTATAAGTCTCATAGAGCACGAAAACCATCTTATCCCTTCACTTTATGCCATACGTTTCAAATAAATAAACAAAAAATGTAAGGTAGATGTTTGGACCACTAATTACCTTTTCCAATGGGATATAAATTAGCCAATGCCACGACATCATGACCCGCAGCAACACACTGCATCAGGTTGAATATCGAGTCTTTACCACCACTAACAAGTGCCACAACCCTCATCGTGGATTATTACGGTTTTATCAGGTGGACAAGTACCTGACGACATACAATTTTATCGTGCAATCAATGTCTCGGGAGAAAATGGACATTTGATTTTCTTCAATTTTCAACGGAGTAGTTGATTGAACTCTCTTTGAATGGAAATACGATCGCATTTTAACACCAATTAAATGAGTTATTGGCAGTTAAGGAAAGATAAAAAAAATCTTCCTCATTCTCTCGAATTGCATTAATTAAGAGGTATAATCAATTTTCACTTAGGAATGAAGATGTTGAAAATGTTTAGCAGAATGTTAAAAATTTATGTTAATAGATGTTAAAAATGAAATGTTTACTCAATAAAATTACTAAATCTGAGGGATTTTCATTGCAGTTTCAACAAGTGAATGAGCTACTGACATTTCAAAAAATTCAAAATTGTTAATTAACTCATATAATTAATGACAATTCAAGAATGGCTTGTCAACATCAAGTGTGACAAGTGACATGAGAAAAAGACAAAACTCAACAAAACATTTACCCCAGAAAATCATTAAATTCAATTTATTTCATCCCAATTTCAAAACTATCTAAAAAATCCAATTTTCTCCTGGAATTTGACTGTCAGAGCAAAAAATAAACTTGACATTTCTTAATCATCCAACAAATTAATTGACTGAATTCAGTCTAAATTAGAAAATCGACAATTAAACGAGCTACCGACATTTTAAAAAATTCAAGTGTTAATTAACTCATATAATTAATGACAATTCAAGAATGGTTTGTCAACATCAAGTGTGACAAGTGACATGAGAAAAAGACAAAACTCAACAAAACATTTACCCCAGAAAATCATTAAATTCAATTTATTTCATCCCAATTTCAAAATTATTTAAAAAATCCAATTTTCTCCTGGAATTTGACTCTCAGTGCAAAAAATAAACTTGACGTTTCTTAATCATCCAACAAATTAATTGACTGAACTCAGTCTAAATTAGAAAAACGACAATTAAACGAGCTACCGACATTTAAAAAAATTCAAGTGTTAATTAACTCATATAATTAATGACAATTCAAGAATGGCGTTGTCAACGTCAAGTGTCATAAGTGACATGAGAAAAAGACAAAACTCAGCAAAACATTTACCCCAGAAAATCATGAAATTCAATTTATTCTCATCCCATTTTCAGAACTATCTAAAAACCCTAATTTTCTCCTGGACTTTAACTCTCAGAGCAGAAAGTAAACTCGATTTTTCTTCTCACCCAACAGATGAATTGATTAAACAAAAACATCACGAGATTTGCCCAACAATTACCCGATCCCCCGACACTCCAAAAAATTCAAAAAATGTTTATTCTCCCCTCCTCTCCCACGAAATTAACGACAATTTCGGAATGAAGTTGTTAACGTCAAGTGCCACAAATGCCATTAATAAATCACAACCCTCGGCATATATTTGGCCCCTATTGTTGTGTAAAAATAAAACCCACAAAAATGATCGAATCCGAGTGATTTTCCGGGTCCCTCCCAATTCCGCGATCCCAAAGAAACAATTCTCTCCAAAAATACAAACCGACGATCACCAGCCCAGAAGCCCCACCACCTCCGACAATTCGTCAAAAATTAAAAAAAAATTATGTTAAACCGCAGTACCCGATCACGAGTTTATTGTTGCCGAGAAACTACTGCCCCTGAATCACGAACCACGTATGCCAGAGGTCTCGCCGCTTGATCAGATACCAAAATGTTTTTCCCACTTTGACGAAATGTCTCGGTTTGAAAATATATACGTGGATATAATCACTCTTGCCCACCGTCAATTATCGAAAAATAAAAATACACCGATAAGCGAGCAACGTCTCCATTGAGGGTGGTTTCAGTATTCCCTGAAAAACTTATTGGTTAATTTAATTTCCCCTCGATAAACCCCCGACAACGTCAACTGTCGTCATCCGTTAATTGTCAAAATGCTGAATTCTGATATTATTTATCCCCAAGCAGTGAGTGTACGAGCCGGTATATCAATTATTTTAGGTATTTACATTAAAATTGATGACGAAAGTACCCCTGCCACACTACGAGGACACATTCGGCCGACTTGCCTGAGGTCTCCGCTCCATCTGGCGTCGATTAACCCAAGTATTCCGTGAAACTCAACTAGTTTGTATTGAGGTTACCGCAAAATCTCGGTTTTACTCCCAATTCCGGGGGAATTCCCCCGTTTCCACTGCACAATCCCGAAGTTTTCGCGTCACTATCAGCATTCATTATCATTTTTAGCCCGAGAAAAACGGAAAAATCTCGGTTTACTCGCAACCCCGAGAGACTCACGGGTCGACGGTTCGCGCGACCGTTGTTGTGACGTGATACGCGAGAGAAATCGTCGGCCGGAATTTTCACATGAGAATATCCCGTCATTTTCATGTAAATTCGCTCATCCGTCGACGTTCGACGATTTTCAGATCAAGTTTTCCTCGTGTGGAGCATTATTTCGGATTTATAGGGTCCGAATTGTTCGGATTACGACGGATATGAGCGATATCACCCACGTGACCCTTCCAATGGGCCAATGAGGAGCCGTCTCTCCCCATGGGCTCTCCCTGTTCTCGGAAATGCACGCGTAAAGGGGAATTGAGAGCTTAAAAATAACTGGAGGCAGTTCAACATTAATTTTTCATGTTTTCTTGTTAATTTTTTTCCGCTCGATGAGAGAAATTCATTCTTCTCCGCAGCAAATTCATTGGTCTCCATGAACTTCTGGAGATCAGATATTTAATTTTGGAAAAATATGAGAACGTTTTAGTTTCAAATGTTTTTGGGGAATTAAAGTAATGAACAGTGGAACGTGGGGAGAAAATAGTGACGGAAAAATTAAAGGGCATGTGGCAGAAGGGAGTGCGCATGGCCCCCTCGTCCGAAAATTTGTCATTCCTCGACCAATGGGAAAGCGAATGTTGAACGCACCGCCATCTTTACTTTCGCTACGGTCGCACGAAGCGCTCGAAACGACTGTGCGTCCCTGCGATGTCTCTCGCTTGGAGCATTCAGTAGAGTCCCGTGTACGCTGTTGTGTACAAGCTGCGTTAGCGCTTGGACTGCAGGGCTAATTAATCCCTTGAATTGTTAATAAATATAATTATTGATTCGGGGGAAATAGAGTGGGGTGGACGCGGGTGCGATTGAGGGCTGAATTTTCAGGGTTTTGGAAGATGGTTTTGGCGGAGAGAAATTCGGAGAATGTTAGGAACGGGCGGAGATCGAGGGGCCCCAGCCCCAATGGGCAAACCGAGTCCTCGAGCGAGGAGGATGGAGGTAATTTTTACAATATTTTATGGTAGTTTGGGATTACTCGGGGAATTTGTTATTCCGGGGGTTGAGATGTTTCGGGGATTTTTGAGAATGTCCGAGTAGCGAATAGCGAGTTTACCGTTTGGTACTGACCATAGCATAGATTCAACCATTTTCAATCTTCAAATTTTTCAATTAAAGTGCGTGAGAAACATTTGATAAATTATGAATATTCAGCGTTATTAAAATTGCATTTTGCACAGAATTATTATTTTTTTAAAGGTTGGTTGTTTATAAGTGAATAATTGAAATTGTTTAAACTTTCGGAAATTAATTTTTTTAGACATGGAATCGATTTCTGGTAAAATTCTGGATATAAATAAATTTGTTACGTTTCCGAACAAATGAGTTTAGTGGGAGAAAATTGATTGTTTATAAATTGTTTATAGAAAATGTTTGTGATTTTCAAAAATGCAATTTTTTAATCATTTCATCAATCTTCCTCCAAAAGTCAACTTTCCAATTTTTTTTTAGATTTTTGAATGTTTTCAAACGGTTCAATATCGCACAGCAAAACGAATGTCTGAATTACACACCTTTTGTAGACATTTTTCAGACTAAAAAACTTCTGAAAAACCACAAGACGTTTTTTAGTATTTGAAAAATCTACAAAAGGTGTGTGAAATTCACACATTCGTTTTTGCTGTGAGAGATTCAAATTCAGACTTGTAAAGTTTAAATAACAAATCATTGTGAAATGTCCGGAAACTAGGGTCAAATGGGGCTCAAATGAAAGCTCTAATGTTTGACTACAAAAAAAATAACCAAAGTACTTGGATATCCTTAAGATTTCGTTGTGATATTCCTCATGCTCTTTTTCGCATTTACGACGTCCCACAGAGCCATTTTATCACTGAAAAACGTCTGGAATACACCGCAACTACCTTATTTTATTAATTTCCCCTGCTCCTGGTTTTTTTTTCAATGCGGAAGATTAGTTGGAATGAGTTGTAGGTGATAGTTTTGTGTAGTGAATTCGATAGTTGGTGTAACTATCGTTCGTGATAACTGCAGTTCTAGCTGAGAAAATTCGTATTAAATCCTATGCATTACATTTCCATTCAATATTTTGTTCATTTGGTTCTACGCACAACATGAAGTCGAATTTGGTATAGTTGATAGTTTTGTGTGGTAGATTAAATAGTAGAGGCAACTATGGGATTTTTTCATAGTTCCAGCTGGGATGATCCCTATTGACTTCTACTAATTCCATTCCTATTTGATTATTCCTTGTTCTTCCTTTCTTTCGATGCAGAAACTCGATTAAAATTAGTTACAGTTGATAGTTTCATGTAGTAGATGAGATAGTCGAGGCAACTATCGCTCGCGACTATTTTATAGTGCCAACTGAGAAGATCTCCATTGAATCCTACTAATTCTATTCCTATTTAATAATCTTTTTGTTCTTTCGTTTTACCAATACAGAACATGAAAGAGAATTTGTTATAGTTGACGGTTTTGTGTGATCGCATAGATAGTGGAGACAACTATCGTTCGTGATCGTTATAGTTCCAGCTTTGAAAACTCCTCTTAAACCCTATCAATTATATTCATGGTTTTCTATCCTTCGTTTGCTTCGATGCAGAATAATTTATCACTTAAAATTTCTTATAGTTAATAATTTAATGGGGTTCATCCACCCCATGATAATAGTGGACACAACTATTACTCGCAGCTTTCGTAGTTCCAGCTGAAAAAAATTCTATTAAATTCTGTCTACTATATTCCTATTTAGCGATATATTTTTCCGTTCTTCCTTTATTTCTATGCAGATCAATCAGAATTAATAGTAGTTGATGGGTTCGTTTGATAGATTGGATAGTGGGGACAACTATCATTCGTGAATATTATAGTTCCGCCTGAAAGTATTCCTATGAAATTCTATCAATTACATTCCCATTGAGTTGAATATTTTCATATTCTTCATTTCGACGCAGAAGTCGATCAGAATTAATAGTAGTTGATAGTTTCGACTGATCGATTAAATAGTGGGGACAACTATCATTCGTGAATATTATAGTTCCGCTTGAAAGTATTCCTATGAAATCCTATCAATTACATTCCCATTGAGTTGAATATTTTCATATTCTTCATTTCGACGCAGAAGTCGATCAGAATTAATAGTAGTTGATAGTTTCGACTGATTGATTAAATAGTGGGGACAACTATCATTCGTGAATATTACAGTTCCAGCGGAAAAAATTCGGGTGGGCAGGGACTATCAAGTCATCGTGCCTGAGTTCATCCCAGTCAGTGGTAAGTCTCCATCGATCTATTTTGTTTACTTAAAATTTTGGATTTTTCAACGTTTTATGTGTTCAGAACGACGCTTGGATAAATGCCCGGACCGAGCCCTTCTAGTGTGGTCACCCACCACTGATATTCCAGACCAAAAATGTACGTTGAAACTAATTACGTTTTCATTTGTATTTGTAGCGATGTTTCGATGTGTCCTAATGAGAAAAATGTAGGGGCGAAATGAATACTTTTCAAAAAATGTTTATAACACTTCAGATGTTGGAGAAATATTTATGGAAATCACGACATAAACTTTCGAGAGCAAATTAACGATGAACCGGCGAGGTGAAAAAATGTAGGCAATTTTATGAATTTTTTAAAGTACATTCTTCGATATATTCCGTAGCCCTGTGTGGAGTTTCAGATTGCTGCAGAGAATGGTTCAAATGAAATAAATTATTTAAAAAACGGGATTTGACCCGTGTTCTTATGGCAAATGAGGAAAAATCCACATTGTGAACGTAAAAATACTGAAAAGGTCACGAAACTTCGTCCACATGTGACATATTGATAAATACACCTTCTGCAAGAAAAATTACGTTGGTTCAGAGCATTTTTTTAACCTAAAATTAACAAAAAACCACGAAAAATCAGACTTTCTGCGCGCGCAGCTGTGAACTGTGACAACGCAGCACCTGCCCATCGGGTGGGGATGAACGCGGTAAATTCAAACGTGTGGAAAAGAGCTGTCGATCTAAAATGATCTCTGAGGTTACTTCACAGAGAGGCCTTGAGATTTATTTACTATTATTTTTCTCATCGATAGAAAATTAGAACGACGTGGGTGATGAATTTTTCGGATAAACGAGTCGCGATGGAAAAAAATTACACGTGTTTATGCGCGCGACCTTTAGTAGAGCGAGGACCTTTAGTAGAGCGTGGCAGGCTTACCAACTCTGAGAAACAAAGTATTATGTCAGACCGACGTTGCCACATTTTTTTCACCCATCAGATATTTTCCGTTTATTATTAAAAATGAATATAAAAGTGTTTCGATGCACGCGCGATGCACGAAAAAAATTGAATCGTGATAAAAAATTATTTGACCATAGAAGACTTCAAATATGATTCAAACAAATTCCTGTTCAACATTATAAATATTATTAGAACCCAAACCACATTGATCTTCATCATCCCCTCCTGGAGATTAATGTGCTTCGATCTGTAAAAATATCAATAACTTTCCGCAGGAAATTTGTTCAAAAATTTGGAGATTTAGCGGCATTCTGTTACCCCTCAACAATTGGCATTACCCTTTAACTGCGATGCCTTTAAGAACTAATGGCGCTGCTGCGCCCATTACAGTGTGGGAGTCAGACAAGGATGGTACACAAAAAGTTGAAGGCACTTTGAAGTTGAGGTGAAACGGAATCCCTGTGTCAATATGAACTTTTAGAATTGTGTTTTCTCCGACAATTATTAATTTTTATCACAATGTGTGGAACAGGGACGTTTTAGGCACGCGAAGCATGCCTAAAAAGTTACTTTTTCGCACAGTGTGATGAAAAATATCGTTCGATAGTCATGGAAACTCGCCTTCGGAACCTCCCACGAACCAAAAAACTGTTTTCAGCACTCGTAACGAAATATACTATTTATCTATGAAACTACTTTATCGACTCGATTATCGCATTATTGCGTCAATGAAGTAGTTTCATAAATAAAAAATAATAATTGCATGAGAAAACAATTCTAAAAGTACCTATAGACACCGGGGTTCCGTTTCACCTTAAGGGGCGACTACTATGAGTTTTAAAAGTCGTGGGTTATTGGAGTGAGACTTTTCATACGTGGAAGATCGATTATATAGATCTGAAAATGAATAAGTTGGCACTCCCCATAGGCTCTCCCTGTTCTTAGAAATTCACGCAATTCAGGTTTCAAGGGCTTGAAAATATTCTATAATTTTCCATGTTTCCTTATAATTTTTGCTCCCTAATGAAAGCTTTGTAATCATTCTGGATTATTTACTACGGTATTTACGGAAATTACAATATAAACTAACACCTTGACTTCATGAATGTCTAGTCACGTTGTGATCTTGAGAGCGAATTGAATTCCAGCAGACACTTTGAGATCAATGCAACCCCCTAAACCTCCTGCATGATGGGTCCTTTCAATGTTTCTTTAGAGACATATTTCTCATTAGGACACGTTGATTCACCCATTAGATAAGGAAATTGTCAAGTTTACGCCCGTTATTTCACGCTGACTCTCCCTTCCAGTGGATGAGTACATCATCCTCGCTAAAGAGAAATACGGATACAATGGGGAACAAGCACTGGGTATGCTGTTCTGGCACAAGCACAATTTGGAGAGAGCAGTCCTCGATTTATCAAATTTCACCCCATTCCCTGATGAGTGGACGGTGGAGGACAAGGTTCTCTTCGAGCAGGCATTCCAGTTCCATGGGAAGAGTTTTCATCGCATAAGACAAATGGTAAAATTTCAAGCCCCTCCCGTAAAAAAATGACATGCCGATGATTACCAAGTCTTGAACATTGGAGAATTGCCCTGAGATGAGACAATTTTGTCGCTAAAATAGATCTGGTTGTTCAAAAAATTAGAGTAGATGGATGACGCGATAGCAATTGGGCAACTTCGAAAGAAATAGTTTTCGTCTAGGTAATTTTCAAAGGTTGAACCAGAAAATTGACAAAAAATTCATTTGATGCAAAACGAGGACCAAACAGCAACACTTTCAGTTCCAGAAATTTGTATGAATGACACTATTGAAAAGATAGATCCACGAAATTCATTTTTAAATAGAATAACAATGAGGATGTGATTGCAGCCTTACAGTTTCTAACGAAATATTTTTCATTAAGCTTCACCTTACGAGAGAAATTCTCATCCTGAAATGTCAGGATTCCCCCGCGAACGATAAAATAATATCCGCAGTCGAGGCTTTATATAAGGTACCTCGAGCGCTCGAAGCCTACCCCCACTCTCGGTATATTTATCGCCTCCCGAATGTTTAGTTCCGTGGGGTTCTTATAAGATACCTATGGCCTCGATCATTTTTCACCGGGAAAAGAGTGATTATAAGCATCAAACGGAGTTGAGGCTCAAACGGGAGGGACGTACGAAGTGATCATAAGAGTCAAATGACCTTAAGGGTCAAGAGTTCAAACGTGAGAGTCAAGTGAAGTAATCAGAAGGATTAAACGATCCCAAGGGTCACCTCTTTTCTTCGACGCTATAATTATTAAAATGATGACGCAAAAAATGAATATTCCACAGAATTGCAACGAGCGAGGTATCTTCTAGAAGGAATTGAATTGTAATTACGATTAAAATCTTATTCAGTGAGCATAGGACTTAGAACAGGAGCAAATCATTTATTGTAATATGAAAATTCAACAGCTGATAAATTGGGACATGATTCTCATCGGCCGTATTGCTTTTCGCAATGGGAATCATTATCAACAATTAACTGAAGATAGAAATATCGAATTTAACAGTACAAATGGCATAAGAAATGGGCATTAATACTGAAAATTTTCTCCAACACAAATTCTACCTTGGTAATCATCAGAAAGTATTTTGTTGATCCAACAACCTTCACATCTTGAACCCCTGATAACAATATTCCGTACTCTTATTCGATCTAGCTCCCAGACAAATCCATCGCAAGCCTAGTTAAGTACTACTACAGTTGGAAGAAAACGCGAACCAGAACGTCCCTGATGGACAGACAGGCGCGTAAACTGACGAGTGGAGGAAAAGAGGGTGAGAATGGCAGTGAAAATGGAAGCGAACTTGGCTCCAACACCGACAGTGAATCCGAGGAAAAAGTAAGAAATATTTCATCTCAAACCTCTACTGCATGCGGATTCCCCGTGTCTCCAATATTGACTATTAAAAATCATTTTTAAATAATTTTCATTAAAAAAATGTATCCACACGGCAACTTGAGGCATTTTATGAGTGAAACTGTCACCATGATCAGTAAATTGGACAATAACCCTACGAGAAAAGCCTTATTGATAGATTTCGGATGTGAACGTACCCATTTTATGATAAAAACTTAGAGTTTATTCCCTGAATTGCCGTTATCTGTGTATGAAAATGTTAAATGACGAGAGAAAGTAATGTGGGACGTTCCAGAAATGGACGATCCACCGCGGAATACGACGTGGAAAAAACCAAGCTGTACCAGGGAACCAAGGTGCCGACGGCAAGGCGACCTCCGACTCGGAAAACATCCCCCAGGTTCAGGTACATCAGCCTAAACCTTACCCCAAACGTTTGAAAGACACATGCATATTAGAAGGCTTACACTGTATTATATATTCTCCGCCTTTTTTTTTGTTCTTTGCATTTTTATTCTCTCATTGTTGACCGCTACACCACAAGAATACACGCACGAAAAAATTTCATTGGGAAAACTAGCGCATTCGATGGACAATTCGAGTGGATTTCTACTGAATTTCGGGGGAAATTCTATTTTTGGTAGATTTTACTGAAGAATTCCGGAATGTTTTCTATAGGAATTCCTGGACATGAATTTTCATTGTTTTTTTTTCTATTTTATTCTTCTTCTCGTTTCATTTAAAAAATGAAACGAAAAAAATTGAAAATTTGAGCTGAAGAGTTTTTATAAAAAATATCTCAATAGAGTTAGGTGCATAGAAAAATTGAATTTCATTGATTTTTTCTTTATAATATTTTATTGTATTTATTATATTTTTATAATAAATATAAAAAAATATTTAATAATTTTTTTATCATTTATTATTAGATTTTTTTTACATAATATTGATCAAAAAGGCACACATTAGCTGCATCTTTTGATTGGAATTGACCAAAAGCTCAAAAAAATTTTAGTAGAAGTTCAATAGAATTTTCCAGCGAATTCGCTAGGTTTTTCTGTGAAATTTTTTCGTACGTATAATACTTTACTTTACAGTTGGCTATGTAGATTGGTAGTTTCAACTATATTTTCCTCATTAGTAGAAGAACCTGAAGAATTCGATAGAAAATTCGATTGGGGTTTTGTTGAACTTCTATTGAAGATGCTATTAGTTTTTGGCCAATTCATTCAACAATTCCGCAGCTTTGCGTGCGTTTTTTTACAGAAAATTTCATTTTTCTAAACAACATTTGCTATAGGAATTCTTCGACAAGAATTTTCCAGGGTTTTTCGCTTGATTTTTCTTCTCTCTTCACTAAAAAAAATTGAGCAAAAAAACGGAAAATTTAAGTCGAGGAATTTCTACAGAAAATATCTCAATAGAGCGAATTGTATTGAAAAATAAAATTCTATTGATTTTTTTGACGAGAATTTTCTATTAAACATTTTTACTCAGCAAAAGCTAATAAAAAGTTCTGTAGAAATCTAATAGAATTTTCTAGCGAATTCGCTGGGTTTTTCTATGAAATTTTTATCGTACGTTCAGCACATTTCGTTACTTCTGAGACGAAGCTGCTACTGGCTGAATTATTTCGGGTCTGTTGATGTTTTGGTATTTTTTGGGGGGTAATCACTCCATTTCCGGCAGAATCCAGGATTATGGAATTGAATTCATGAAAAAATTAAATAGAAAAAGCTAGTGCTAGACAATTCTGTTTCAATTTCGACGGGCGCCCCAGATTTCCCGAAAATTACACTAAATCCCCTCGATATCAAGAGATTTAGAAAACTACCAGACTTTCATTTCATCTTCATCCCAATTATTCGAGTGATTACCCCTCATAATTCTTCTCACTAAAAAAAAAGGAAAAAATACCGGAATAATTTCAAAAAATTCTGATGAAAAAATTCACGAGCAGCAGCAAAGTTCCCGTTGAACAAAATTTTCCTTAAAATATTATTCTTCCTACTTGAATGGGCCTTATCTATGACTTACGCCTGACCCTTAATGACATAATGATTTCGTCATCAAATATATTCACTAAAGACTTATTTGACTGCATACTTCATTAGATTTCGCCTTAACTATGACTCATACCTCACTCTTAATGACATACTGTATCTTGTGAAAATGTAAAATCATCGGAAATGCGCTCTAAAGATATATTTCACTGCACACTTCATGAAATTTCAAACTTCAAGACTTTCATTTCATCTTCACCCCAAATATTCGAGTGATTTTCCCCGCAATCCTTCTCATTAAAAAAACCGAAGAAACAATGAACTAATTTCAAAAAATTCAGAGGAAAAAATTCACGAGCAACAGTAAAATTCCTGTTGAACAAAATTTTCCTTGAAATAGTGTTTTTCCAACTTTAATCATCCTTAACTATGACTCATACTTCACTCTTAATAACACTATACTTGTGAAAATGTCAAATCATAAGAAATATCCTCTACAGACATATTTCACTGCATACTTCATTAAATTTCCTCGATATCATGAGATTTCGAGAACTTCAAGCCTTTCATTTCATCTTCACCCCAAATATTCGGGTGATTTCCCCCCGCAATCCCTCTGATTAAAAACAAACCGAAGAAACAATGAACTAATTTCAAAAAATTCCGAGGAAAAAATTCACGAGCAACAGTAAAGTTCCTGTTGAACAAAATTTTCCTTGAAATAGTATTTTTCCAACTTTAATGGGCCTTAACTATGACTCATCCTTCACTCTTAATGACATACTGTACTTGTGAACATGTCAAATCATAAGAAATATCCTCTAAAGACATATTTCACTGCACGCTTTATTAAATTTCCTCGATATCACGAGATTTCGAAAACTTCAAGCCTTTCATTTCATCTTCACCCCAAATATTCGAGTGATTTCCATCCGCAATCCTTCTCATTAAAAAAAAACCGAAGAAACAATGAACTAATTTCAAAAAATTCCGAGGAAAAAATTCACGAGCAACAGTAAAGTTTCCGTTGAATAATTTTTTCCTTGAAATATTGTTTCCCCAACTTAAATGGGCATTGTATGTTGTAGGGGTCATGTAGCAACTGCGGCGTTGCTTGTCATAGTGTTCGTGCAACGCCCAAGGGACACGCGTGTCATAGCTGCTATCTTCACTGGAGGTCAGTGGACGAAACAGAAAAAAATCCCTTAAAAATAAAACAGAACAGAAAAGCAAGAAAGAAATTTATGAATTTATTCGATATGGTTTAGGCGAACGGGTGTCGCGAGGCCCCTGAGTTCCATGCCGGGTCGTTCTAACAAAAGAAAACCGCCGCGTGGACTGGTAGTTAATCACGACGATCTTGCTGTTCTCGCTGGTCAGCCCAACCAGGCTAACAACAGCCTTCAAGCTATCGACACTGAAATTGTTAGCCTCAAACGACAAGTATGTTATCAGTAACAATTGGCAAATCGTGTGGATACATTTTTCTCTGTTCAATTGACTTGAAATTCTGCTCCTAGGGCCATGCCTGGGGATGTGAAAATGACCGTAATTTTTTTCGTCAGTTGAAAAGTTTATGACAGAGATGTGACGTCATATTTTTTTTATCACAATTTTTCCCATCACTCCAGGCCGTTATTGCGGTTCTCGAAAATGTTGAAACTCGAAAAATTCAGCAATTTATTCTTATTTGATTTCCAAACGTTTCGAGTGGTAAATTTTACTCCTTTTCTGGACAATCCATTTATTTTTCATTTCTCTGTATATAATAAAAAATATAAATAAAAAACCACAAATATAAATTCAAAATTATTAAATAACTCACGGATTTTTCACTAAAGTTAATTATCAATTTTCCCTTCCAAATTTTTAAAATGTGTATGTTCTACATTTTGAAAAATAGGTAGGGGAAATTGATAATTAAATTCAGTGAATGAATTATATTCAATAAGGAATATCATAATAGACATGCATTTTAATAATTTTGAATTTATATTTGTGTGCTTTTTCATTTATCGAGATGGCTATAGATAGATTGTCCTGAAGAGGAGTGAGATTTACTAAATTAGTAATTTATTTAATAAATTACTAATTTAGTAAATAAATATTATGTATTTAATAAACTACTAATTTTTTTGAATGTTAAAGTTGCTGAAATTGTCGTATGAATAGAAGCGGTTGGAATAAAAATTTAGTTCTCATATTTATTTCATCACTAGTGCCTAAATTGAGTGCCCGCCTCCCATACATTGTGATGAAGTTTTATGCACTCGTATCGAATTTTACTATTTTGTCATAATTTGAGTAGTTTGTCATTGTCACTGCTATTTGAATGGAATATGAGGGTCACAAAGAATCTGTCTCAAAAACTGTCATAAAATTGAGAAGCCATTGTTAATGATATTTCGTCATCGCCATAATCATAAATTTTAATTAAATTTCGAATAAGTCAGTTGTTAATATTAAATCAATATTATTATGTATTAAATTAATTATCAATCAAATATCCAAATTCTAAATTATTTTATCAATGAATAATTGAGTTCGGAAGATTGACGATTATTTGGCTAATCGTAAATACTTTTATGGAATTTAGAATTATTTACTCAATAGTCAATTGAAAATTAAAATTACGTTTAACTATAACGTTATTTTTTAAAATTTTAATGAAGATAGGTAAACATTGATTATTGTAATATTAGTAAACTCTCGTACTATTGCTAAAGTAATGATTGATGCTGATCCATGTTGAAATTTCGAAAAATGTGACATTTTTGTTGCTATTTAGTTGACGTATGACGGACACTAAGTCTCGTGTCACAAAGAATAACATAAAATTGATTAGCTGTCACTAAATTTTGAGTAGTTTGAGATTGTTACTAGTCTGTTGATGGATTATTACGGTCGCATAGAATTTGGAGCACAAAATATGTCATAAAATTACGGAATGACCATCATCTATTTATTTATATGTTAATGCCGTTATAATTTGGTCATGTGACGAAAATTGTCATAAGTGGCATTTGTCATGTGATCGTCATATGACTTGCCACTAAATTTTTGCACATCCCTAATCATGCCAGAATTAATGAACTCCAAGGAAAAAATTAACAGATGCAGATTTCTCTAAATATCTTCTGTTTTAATTTCTCCATCAAAATTTTTGGACATGAATTTTCAATTTCTCTCCTGAATCTCGCAATAAGGAATAAGAAATACAGAAGAACAAACTGTCCCAAAATTTTATAAAAGAAATAAAAAAGAAATATAAATTGCTATTCATTTTTTCTCTTCAATAAAAATGAAGAAAAAAAACGGATTAATTTTTATATTTGCACGACTTGCGATGGGTTTGTTCTGTCATCACCCCCATGGCAATTTTTTAAAATTAATCATGTTAAATCCACAGATTCAATCGAACAAGCAGCAAGTGAGTGTGCTGAAACGAAAAACAGCGGATGGAATCGATGACTTGCGCCCACCTGAGGTCTCCAGTCGCATCAACGCCCGCTGGACAAACGATGAGCTACTTCTGGCCGTTCAGGGGGTGCGAAAATACGGAAAGGATTTCTCAGCAATAGCCGATGTCATCGGAACCAAAACCGAAGCCCATTTGCGCTCGTTCTTCGTTAATTATCGACGGAGATACAATCTTGATGCTGTTCTCAAAGAATACGAGGCTGAGAATGGACCTATTCTCATTGACGATGAAAAAGAGGAGAAGGTAATTGCAATTGATAAGACTAGTTGATAGTTCCATTTTCCGTATTGACCTTCACTTTTCCTCGTCCGAACATTGGCCCCTCCCCAAACACGTAAAAGTGACAATCACTGCGGAAAAATATCGTTCACGACTAGTTAAAAAATCATGAATATTCAGCGTCATTCAAATTACATTTTGCACAGAGTTATTAATTTTTTAAATTTTCGTTTATAAATTGAAATTTACTTCTGGTTAAATTCTGAATATGAATAAATTTGTGACGATTCCGAGCAAATGATTTTCGTGGTGGAAAATTGATTGTTTATAGATTATTGTAATGAATAGGCGATGAATTATGGAAAAGGGGCGGATTTATTTCTTTTTTAATACACGGGGTGATTAATATCTCCATTCAGGCTTTAGAATGACATTTTTTATCAATCGAATAACGAAAAAAACACAAATCAGGAAGAGGGAAGAGAATCAATAAATTAAACATTCGATTCCGTTACATTATTTGCAGAATTATATATTTTTAAAATTATTTCATCAATCTTCCTCTAAAAGTAAACTTTATAATTTTTTTCAGATTTTTAAAATATTTTTTAACGGTTCAATATCGAGATTCAAATTCAGACCAAAGTTCAAATAATGAAATCATTGTAAAATGACCAGAAACTTGGGGTCAAATGGGGCTTAAATGAAAGCTCTGATGTTTGGCTAGAAAAGTAGAAAAGTATTTCACTGGAGAAAAAATAGACAAAGTACTTGGATATTCATAAGGAGAGATCGCACTAAAATTCTGAAATACGAGTCTTTATTTAACTACTTTAGTAAGTAGTTTTAAAGTAAAAAAATAAGGTTTTGTTTTTGTTTCTTTGGTGTAATCTTACAAGAATTTTCACAAGAAATCTAACTCGATTTTTTAAAGAAAAAATATAATTCAATTTAACAAAATAATACGGAACAATAAATTATATACGATGGAAGAAAATTATGTGTGAAATTACCATTCGTAAGGATATTGCTAATTCAATTTCCATTTTCCACTTGTTTACCCCACATTTCACATTCGAATCTTCAATTTCCAGATGGACGTCGATCAGCCGACGAGTAACGAGACCACCGACAGCTCAAAAAGCAAGACTTCCGTGAGTGTCAGTCAAACGGTGAAATAACATAACGTAGCGTGAGTATCGCGTTCACAAAATTAATTTAACTAATTGAAGGCAATTTCTTTTTTTTTTCATCGATGAAAGATTAATATGTACAGTCACAATTACATGTGAATTAATTGAGAAAATACGGAAAATGTGAATGACCTGTTTTCTCACATACTTCATGGAGATTATTCGAGAGAGCATTCTGAAATACAGACACACGATTCATAATGTTTCTTCTTCTTTCACCATAACTCAACTATTTTTAATGTTGTAAACCTGCAGATTAAATATTTGAAAAATGAAGATTGAGGACACGTTTTTTATGTCAGTTTCGTTGGCAATGTGACACAATTGTTTGTTGAATCTACGCACTCTAAATTTACATGTTCAGAAATTTTATTCGAAGAAGAATATTATTATCCAAATGAAAATCGAAAAATTTTATTCGACAAAGAATATTATTATCCAAATTAAAATCGTGATGACGATAGTAATCTTATCCTTTTTCTGGCAATTCCGCCGGAAAAATCACGTTTGAAAAAATAAAAAAAAAACGTCTATTTTTCTATTTTTTCCCCAAACTATTTTCAATGTTGTAAATCAGATTAAAGATTCGGAAAATGAAGATTGAAGACACGTTTTTTTACGTCAATTTCGTTGGCAATGTGACACAATCGTCTGTTGTATCCACACACTCTAAATTTACATGTTTAGAAAAATTTGATTCGAAGAAGTTATTCGAAGAAATGGTTATGCACATAAAAATCGTGATGACGATGATCATCTCGCCCTTTCCCTGACAATCTCTGTGGAAAAATCACATTCGAAAAAATCACTTTTGAAAAAAATTAGTAGAAAAATCTAACAATTTCTCCTCGAAATTTTCTTGAATTTCTGTTGAAACTATAACAATTCCTGGGGATAACCTTTCCATCTTTTCTTATTTTCTTAAACAAATTGAAATACAGTCGGAAAAGATTCTGCCCAAGAAATTAAAATGTAATGACTCTTCTAGAAAAAATCTCACGAAAAAACAATACTGGAAAGTTACATAATCTTCGATAGAATTTCAAGAGAACTTGAATAACATTTAAAAAAAACAGACGTAGATTTTTCTATCATTTTTCTTCATGCGTGATACTCGTATTTCCACAGCGGTGGAATAGGCCTCTGAGACACAGATTTTCCCAAAATTTTCTTAGACGAAGAATAAATATTCTTCTTACACAAATGAAAATCGTGATGACGATGATCATCTCGCCCTTCTAAAATCACGTTTGAAAAAATTTACCAGAAAAATCCAACACTTTCTCTTCGAAATTCTCTTGAATTTCTGTTGAAACAATAAATATTCTTGGGGATGAATTTTCCATTTTTTTTTATTTTCTTAAACAAATTGAAATACAGCGGGAAAAATTTATGCCCGAGAAATAAAAATCTATTGACTCTTTTCTATGAAAAAATCTCATCAAAAAACGACGCTGTAAAGTTCCATAATTTTCAATAGAATTTCAAGAAAACTTAAATAAAATAAAAACAACAAATGTCGATTTTTCTATTATTTTTTTTCATACGTGATACTCGTATTTCCACAGCAGTGGAATATAGTCCTCCGACCCACATATTTTCCCATGTGGGAAGATGATATTCAGTCATACATGAAGATATTGATAAGAATATAAAGTACATCTGAATGAATCAATTGAAACGGTGTTTGTACATACGAATATATATTTGTATCGGCAAAAATTTTGTGATTGTCCTGCACTATTCGTTGGTACATTGAATTGAGTATTCCTTCATCATTGAAAAAGTACCAGAATAAGAAAAATCCCTTCTGAATAGCAATATTCAGATTTTTAACGGTGAAAAACTAGTTTTATTTGCTTCAGCTGCGTATTTCGTTTTTATTATTTATTCTCTAGCGAATAATTATCGAAAGATTCACTCATCAAAATCCAATTAACGATGATAATTTTAATTATTCTACGAGCCTTCCATGAATCATTGAGAGAAAATACCCCTATTCTATGCATTCGGTTTCCCCAGAGAAGCGTAAAAATTATAAAATGAAATTAATTATTAAAGCTAGGATAAACGGTAGGATATTGTGTGCTGAATATCTGAGTAGCTTAACTATGTCCCAATAACTGAGTTGTTTGAATATTAAAAAGTTAATTGTAAATATCTGAAGCACTATTGTATATTACGATGAGTTACACAACAAGAGATTAAATCGTTGGGGATGTGGGCGCACATTACCATCGATTTTCCAAGTATTCGGAGAGTACTTTCAACACTGCTTGCGTTGTGAGAAAAATTGGTTTGCATTTCACACATTTTCGTATTTTTGTTCATGCTATGCATTCACGTCGCCAACATTTCTCACGATACTTGCAAGAAAAAAATAATTATGCCATTGGTCAACGACTATGGTGCATTTGACTTACGATCGAGTGTAGGAAATTTTAGAATTAAGAGTGATAAATTATATTAGTTACTAAGAATTCCTCATTTATCGTAATTAACGGTTTAGATTAAGATAGGTATGTTATCTAGATAAATTCTAGGTGAATAAAAAAATATATATTAAAATTAATCAAGTCTTGTGTTTTTTATTGGTCTCTATGGTTTTATTTAGTATGCTTATCTTGTCTGTAACTCTCCAAGGATTTGATGTACCTCTCCTGATAGCCCCTTCCAACCTCCATTACCCTCATAATATAAATTTCTTCATTAGCACTTGAAAATTTAATGGAAGAAGTGTACTTCCTATCGGAAAAATAAATATATCATTTTGCAGGGCACATTATTCGTTCTTCAAATTGTGATGTATTAAATGCAATTTGGTTGAATTTTCATGAAGTTATTGGAGATTGTTTCTATTTTGAACGTCATGCCACACCTTGAAATTCGGCCTTTTCATTCATTGTTGGATCTTTGCACTTAAGCAATGAGGATTTATTATACACCAATTTGAAGATTTCAAGTACGTCTTCGAAATGACGTGTTTTTCCTACTACATCCACTTGATCAATTCAGTAGCGAAGTGGTAAACCGGTTTAAGTCGATTTTGACTATTTGCCAGTTTTCAATGAATATTTCAGGATCTAAGGGAGATGGCAAAAATTTTGACAAGACCTTTTCTATAGCAATCAATTCGCTCTACAAAAAAAGTTATTACAAAACTTTCGTTAGCTTCTTTAGATTCGAAGATATTCCTTAAAAACTCAGATGAGAGCCAAGTCGACTTAAACCGTTTTACCACTTCGCTACTGAATTGTCATGGGTGATTATGTGGCAATTCACGATTCCTTCAGCGTTTTAGCGCTGGATTGTTGTCATTCCTGCCAATATTCAATGGCATTAATGGAGTCAAGAATTAGTCGAGTTTAAAAAATTGTTTGAAGAATCAATTTCATGCAGCCTGGCTAGCGCGCGTCTCGCCTAGGATATTAAAGTTAATCACGTTTTATGGTTTTTATTGGTCTCTATGATCTCATTCACAATGTTGATCTTGTAGGACATGTAGTCCTCAAGCCGAATATTCAACAGAATAGCTAGTCTGCAAGGATTCGCTGCACTCTCTAAGGATTTGATGTACCTCTCCTGATAGTCCCTTCCAACCTCGATCACCCTCATAACATCAATTTCTTCATTAGCCCTTGAAGACTCAATCGAAGAAGACTGAAGATCAAGTTGATGGTCAACAAGTTGACTAATAATATTCAAAAATTTTCCATCTTCTCGGTAGACCTCGTCGTAATTGAAAGGACTCTCCAGGCCTCCAGTGTTCCTCCTCAAATACCTGTTCCCCAGGATATTCTTCACGAAACATTTAAGCTTTCCATCTCGATTTATTCCCTCGGCAGATGAACACAGAGAAACGGCCAGTCGCAAGACCTCATGGAGATTAACATCCGCGTGATTTTTGTTTAACTCCCTAACATCCCCCTGACCTTCCAACACTCGAGAGGCCGTCATCGTCTCACTGGCGGCCTCTCGGATCTCCGGGATTTCGTCATTCAGCAGAACCACCAGAGCCTCGATGATCATCAACTTAAGATCGCTCTCAAGATCCCCAAACTTCTTGCTCTCAAGACACTTCCCCACACATTCCAGCGCCCATAACTTCCCCGAGTCGTCGTCAAAATTCGCCGTACGTAGAATAAACTCCAGAGTCATCCTCCGGAGCTCATAATCATCGAAAAGAGTCAGAGCGACTAGCATATGCCCTAGTCTTCTCTCATTATCATTCTTCCTCCCAACGAGTTTCACCACTATTCTCTTAACATCAACTTTTAAACAAGTCTCTTCAACATTTCTCCGACAACGTTTGTCCTCCAGAACTTTAATCACGAATCCGAAGATCTGGGGGTAGTACACCTGCAGAGGGGACTCGTCTCCCTCCAGAATCGCAGACATCTTCCCCAATAAAGCCGTCAAAATCCCCGGAAGATGTTCCCCAGGATCTGCATTCTTCATTCCCCCAATTGTCGCATGTACCATCAGACGAATATTGTACCTCTCAATCCCCCCGGTCCACTCATCAACGAGCCACCCCCCGAAGCCCCAAAAGGTCCAATGAGCCTCAGCCAAACGATCGATGAACTCCCAGAACCCAGGGCGATCCCCTTCCCCCCGAATTCTCTCCGCGATCGACGACTGGCAAAAGGTGTCGCCCCTAAACCGAAAGTTCTTCAATTCCGGAGACGTCAACAGGCACTTGATAAACGCGGATTCCACGATGTAATCAATCCTCCCCTGTCCGCCAGCCCATTCCCTCAGGAGAGAGTCCAACCTCTCGAGCCCCGCAGCAGTCGCCTCCAGGATCCTCCCCCTGTCGTCTTCATCATCGCAGACGGACTCGTACTGAGCCCTCGCCTGGAGGTACCCCAGCGCCAGGAAGAGACAGTGCTGATGGTTCTGACCGCCAGTTGAAGACTCAACTCCCTTCGCCATCTGAAGAATCGTCCTGGCGATGTCCCTAGGAGGCACGAACGCGGCGTACGTCTTGGCCACGAGACCCCGCACCCCAGCAATTCTGTGGCCAAACAGCTCCCAAAGCTCCTCCATAACTCCCCTCCTATAGCCGTCCGACGAGTAATCGAGGTAGTCCTCCCCGGAAACCGTCATCTTGCAGAGGAGACTGAGAACGGACATGACGCCGTCGTCGTCCTCCCTTGCGACCTTCAGTTCTCGCAGGAGTTCCTCCGCGAGGGTCGGATAGTGCGTCGCAAAATGCTCGATGGAGTGGCCGGCCTCATCCCCGGCTTGGCCCACGAGCCGCGTGACAACAGCCCCCAGCAGCTGAAGACTCGCATTACGCACCGGCCACTCCGAAGACCTGCGGTTTTTGAATGAAATTACAGGTGAGGGGGGCTGGGGGTAATTTGAAAGGTGCAGGGGGTTGCCTCTATTATAAGGATGACTTTGGTAGTTATTTTTCATCATTTGGGCGCACATGGAAATTTTCGATTTGAAACATTCGATTTGAATTTTCACCAAAAATCGATTTCGAACAAAAATCGATTTGAATTTTCACACTATAGAGAGATATTGAGACCCTTATTTTGACCCTTGATTTTTGACCCCCATAACCCTTATTTGAATCCTTAATCTGACCCTTGTGACCCTCATTTCATCACCAGAAGTCGATCTGGATTTTTATAATATAGAGAGACATGAAAAAATGTGCTGTTAATGTAATTCCCTGCAACTTTCAAATTTCACCGCATCTCCCCTTAAGAGAAGAAACACTTCACGTACGAAAAAATTTCATAGGAAGAAAAATTTCTGTTCAACAACTGCTGCTTTGGCCAGAAATATTCTAGAAAAAAATCAATGGAATTCGATTTTTCTATTCAACTCATTCTATTGACATAGTTTTTACAAAAATTAATTGACTCAAATTTTCTACGTTTTTTTCATTCGATTTTTTAATGAAGAGAAAATAAAAATCAAGTAAAAAAAATGTTCTATTGGACATTTTCTAGTTGAAAAAACACACGATAAAATTTCTCAAATTCAATAGAATTTCCCATCGAATTCTCTAGCTTTTCCTGAAATTTTTTCACACGTTATTCCACCGGACGTGCAACAGACCTCAGATGCATGAGACAAATCAGCGCGATCTCCTCCATATAAGTAACCAGATGTTGATGAAGCGACTTATCAGCGACAGCACTCCTGAGAAAATGAATCTGCCGAGCAGTCGGATCATCGGCCGTGGGATTCCCCCCCGCGATCGACGATTTTCGGGGATTCCCCGACTCCCTCAAACCCTTCAACATCCTCCTCAGCGCCATCTGGAGGAGCGGCCGACTGCGCTTATCCCCATTGGACACCAACTTGTGAAACATGATGGTCTGCCCCGCCCCCCGTCTCGTCATATTCACTTCCCGCGAATCGACGCTGAGGAGCTTCTCCAGATGCTCCACGAAGTGCTCCACCCGGAGGTTCTGATTATTCATCAGACCCCCTAGGACCCCCCCAGCGACCTCGATAACCCCCTTATGCCGACATTTCATCAGAATCCTCACGACGATGTTTATCAGTCGCATGTAGATTTCCTCCCCCAATGCATTAATGTACGTCAAACTCCCTGACACCTCGCAAATTGTCGCGAGGGACATCCAAATGCATGAGAGGATTGTCTGATGCGCTGGTGAGAGCACGCACTCGTCTGATTCGTCGATAATCCCGCTGTTCGTTATAATCGCTTCAATCGCGATTCCCATTTCCGCGAAGGACGAGGAAAACTCTGAGTCGCCAGGATTCGGGGACAAGGAAGCCAGGAAAAAGGTCGAGGCCTGCTCCAGGAGGTCCACCAGCTGTTGAACGAATCCTTCGTCCAAACCGAGTCTATCGCGATCAGCTGTCTCCAGAAGAGCGGTCAGGACCCCGTAGAAGGGAGAGGCTCCAGTGGTCGCTCTCAGGATGTCCCCCCTCATGGCGGACAGCTGCGTCTTGGCTTCGTCGAGGAGTTCGCGAGTGAAATCCACTTGAGATGTTTTAGAAACTACTTTGAGCAGTTTCGCGCCGCCAGAGACTTCGTAGAACTTCCAAGACCTGCAGGGATCGGCGTCAATACTGAGTTTTAGGGATATTTGGGGCTTTGTGAAATTTGAAATTTATAAAATAACACGGTCACAATACGCGAACACGTGGACACAATACGCGAAGGTTCGGACCGGAGGGCAACACTTACGGTACTCGATAGACTTTTCGACGCAGAATCCGAATCTGCTGTTAAAATGCGCTCAAACGTACGGTGACTGAGACAAAAATGTTAAAATCGGAAAAATGAGCGAAATCGATCAAGTTCAAAAGGTAAAAAGTCAATGAATTTTACTTCTATTCAGCCGGGGAAAAACAGGAGGTTCGGAATTCTCAGAAGTATGGAGTGGAGAAGAGTATTTCTGAATAGACTTCCCCTTAATAGGCTGAAAAAATAAAATAAGAAGAGAAAAAATGGTGCATTTCGGGTGGATTAGAATCCACCCTTGGATTTAAATCCAAAGTAAATTTGGATGTTCCATGGATTATTTTACCCGGGAGAGTATCTCAAATTTATCCCAGCAACAAAAAATAAATTTTAATCCCAAGGTTAAATCAGTGTTAATTCAAATGGGACTACAGGATAAATAAAAAATTATTCTTCGGGTCAAATATTGAAAAATTATGACCCCTACGATATAATTCAGCAGTGAAGTGGTAGGAGGAGATAAGTCAGTTTTGACCATTCACCAGTTTTCAGTCAATATCTCGGAATCTAAGGGAGATAGCAAAATTTTTGTTATAACCTTTTTTGTGGAGCCGATTGAGTGCTACAACAAATGTGATTACGAAAATTTCGCTATCTCTCTTAGATTCGGGAATATTCCTTAAAAACTCAACTGGGAGTTACCACTGAGGTGACCCGAAGGATAAATTTTACCCTGGGGTTGATTTGGATAATAGGGCTTGGTGCAACCGGGCCTATATATACTCTACTGTATTATATATAATAAATTATAATATATTATATGATAGCATAATACTAAAGAACACGTTAGGCGCAATAGATTGCCTTCAAAAAACGTTCCACCGGATTCTTTACAACATGATTTGATTCTGCCGATGTCTGACCTGCAATTCCTCATGCCCTCTCGGTACAAAGTGCTCTTCACGTCTTCCGTGAGGATCGCTGGGTCGAATATGCAGAGGATGCCACAGGCTTTCGATCTCACTTCCTCCACCGGGTCCAGGCACAACCTCGCGAGGGCGTGGAAGCTCTCCTCATTGTTGTGCGTCCACGACCACAACTTCTCCTCACGTTTCCTCACACGTTCTGAGATGATCGAGTGGAGACTCAGCCCTATGATCTTCCTCTGGTAGCAAGAGCCCACCTCGAGGCAGTTCAGAACGAACCCGTGGATATACTCCGAGAAATCGAGTTCCTCCTTTTTAACAGGACGCGTGGACATTCTCTCGATGAATATCCTGAAACTATCTAGCAATCCCTTTCTGAATCGCGTCGAAGCTGCCCTCGCGTTGAGGTAGAGAAACCTCTTGCATACATCGTAATCTGGGGCCTCAGCTTCATGTTCTTCCTTGAATCTAGCTCCTTTGCAGAATATCGTGAAGGCGTTCAGCCTCACGCACTCGCGGGCATCATTCAACACAGGAGGAAGTCCAGAGCGATTCATCCAGACGTTTTTTACATCGCGAATTGATTCGATTATTGGAGATTCCAACAAAGACCTCAGTCCGATGTTCCTCTCAGCTGCCAGTTTGACGAAGAACGACTGACAAACGATCATTTCATCGATAAACAGATAAGGCCAGAGGTCGAAGAATAAGGAAGGACTGAACTTCAGGAGAGTTGGCCTCAGCCAGAGGTCCCAGAACAGCTGAAGAGCGTTCAAATCGCTCTCCTCCTCCCACGTCTTCACCACTGGGTGAGCTGTTTTGTAAAAAATATTCAACCAGTCGTCTTCAGGGACTTTGTGCCACACCGAGAGGTACAGTTTCGTTGAGGGATGCTTCAGGTGGCTTTTAGGGAGGCTTTTAACCATCTCTCTGATGTGTGCAGGCCGCATTCGTGGGGCCTCTGACATGACTGATGATATTATCGAGAGAATTGTGAATTTCGTGGGGTTCTGCCACGACAGCCGATCCACCACGAGACTCCACGATTTTTCAACGAAATTCGGGTGTTTATTCTGCATTATTGTTAGGTACAGGGGGTATATCTCGGTGGCGTTCCACTTTGCCACGTCGCCGATGCAATTGTCCCAGTTTGACACTATCAGACTTTCGAGTTGTTTCTCTAATTTACTGGTGTCTTTCGCCCAGAAACTTGTGCCCAGGGTGGATTCTAGCCAGAGTTTCAGCAGGCGGAATGCGAGGAATGTGTGGCTGGTGTACGTGGAACAATGCGAGTGGATTATTGTGAAGAAATCGGTGGAGATGGTGCGGGAGTGGAGTTTCTTGGAGATGGAGAGGTGACTGTTTATTACCGACAGTCTGAAGATTTCGGGGTCTTGGACGGGGATTCTCTGGGAGAATATGTCGAGGTGATCGGGGGGGACTTGCAGTAGTTGGGAGGTGAGGCGGGTCAGATCGTCGGGGGGGAGGGATTTAGCGAGAATCGAGAAGATGATCCGGCCTGAGAGGATCGACTCTTCATCTTGGTAGGTCTTTGATGCGAGGAGCGTCAATAGCTCGATTACGAGGGGCTGCCAGGTCGAGGGGGCTACTTGGACCTGGTTCTGACAGAGTCCTAGGATTTTCTGGAAGGGATGAGTGGAGTGAATATTGTTGGCTCATGGAGACACGCACGAAAAAATTTCGGGTGGGTGCTAGGGCTCAGAAATTTTTGAGGAAACTGAGTTTTTTGTATATGAGGGAGAGTGGGGCCAATGAAACAGCAGAAAAACAAATTTTTGACGCAATTCTAGCGAAAAAAAAATTTTTTTCAACTATTTCTATTATTGATTGATAATAAAAAATAATATTAATATTAATAATATTATTGATAATACTTAATAGTTAATATATATTAAATATATATTATAAATATAATATAATATATATTATATATATATTATATATATATTAAATATATATTATAAATATAATATAATATATATTATGTTCAATATTTTATTTGATTAGTGTTAATGATATTTAATAATATTATTGATACTATTATTACTTTTTATTTTTTTTTTTGCTTATCAACTTTTTCTATTGTTGGGAGTACTGATGAGAATAATAATTTTTTGTCCATGTTACAATTCAATTGATTAGATTAGGCCGATTACACTTTTCTTTTTTCATTGGATTTAAATTCAGCAACATATCTTTCTTTTTCTTCCTTTGGGTCTCCCCCTGGGCCTTGCGGATGAAAAAAATTCATAGAAAAACCTAGCGGATTCGTTAGAAAATTCTATTGGATTTCTATTTAATTTTCTATTAGTTTTTGGCCGATTCTACTGATATATTTGATAGAAAATATTCAATAGAAACAGTCAATAGAATTCGATTTTTTATACCACTTATTCTCTTCAGATATTTTCTATAGAATTTTCTCGACGCAAATTTCCAAGTTTTTTTGTTCGATTTTCTTGATGAGAAGAAAAGAAAAACAGAATAAAAAAAATTTAAAAATTTAAGCCGTGGAAATTCTATAGAAAATATCTGAAGAGAATCAGTTTTATAGAAAAATCGAATTTGATTTTCTATCCAATATTTTTTATTGAACATGTCAATAATATTGGCCAAAAACTAATAGAAATTTCAACAAAAATCCAATAGAATTTTCTAAAGAATTCGCTAGGTTGTGCTATTAATTTTTTTCGTGCGTGCTGGACTTTGGATTTTACTGTTTCATTTTCTGTTCAATTATTCCATTGACAAAATCCTCTCTCGTCAAAACTTCTTTCTAATTTTCCATTCTACTGAAAGGCAAATTATTAATCTCATCAGAATTCTCAAGCATAAAAAAAAGTATTTCATAAAAACGAATTTTTTACGTGAATTGCGTCAAACAGTCGTTTTTCGGCTGTTTCATTTCGATAATTCATCTATTACAATCGGGGTTTTACATAATTAATAAATTATTAATATAATATTAACTCTGCTAGAAGAAGCGCTCATATTCGTGTTTACCTAACTCATAGTATAATCAGACGATCAAAATGGCTGTACATGACTATATTATAATTTATTATGGATTATTCTATAGAATATCTTCCATTGATCATTTTTATTCAACAAAAATCTCATAAGCAGTGAAATTTTTCGAAAAAATCGACCAGAAAATTATAGAAATTAAATAGAATTTGCTGGCGAATCCGCTAGGTTTTTCTACGAAATTTTTTCGTACGTGAACAGATGAGAATAATTCATAGATATATACTCACCTGCAGTGTTTTGGAAACTTCATAGGGATGCAGTTTTTTTATTCTTTTGAGTTCTTGAAGGGCATCAGAGTAATCGAGCGAGCCACTTTTTGGATATAAATTCATTCTACGTTCATCTGTCATTTTTTTCTGTTGAAGTGATGGTACTTAATTTATTACAAAATAGAACTAATATGAATAAAATTATAATTTTAGTGTAATTTTAATAATAATTCGGTTTTACTGTTTTGATGCTCATATGTCACACGGCAAAAAGCTAACCTCTGTTCAGAAATTCTTCAAGAATACCCAGTACATGATCTCTTTACTTAATTTCCGGATATTTCAGGAGGAAATTATTATATTGACTGAGTAAATATCATAAAATTTGGGATTGTGAAGTACTTACATTTTCGATTCTCCGGTAAATGTGTCAAATTATCATTGTTGCTCTCCATTGTCATCAGCTGGCTTGACTGCTACACGTGCGTTCCACTGTTGACCAATGGAAGGGCTGTTTTTTCGAATGCTCATAGCGCGGTTTTTTGCTATTGGTATAGAATTTTTCCAGTCATTAGTTAGCAGTTGCAGTTTTTCTTTAATAATTTTGAGGTATTTCACTCTGTTTTTAGATGGAAAACATTTTTCGATGAACGGAAAATCGAAATTTGAATCGTATATTATTGGAAACATCGAGAATTGACTGCAAAAATTTCAAGAATTTCAAATTTTAAACATAATAGAATAATATAACGCGAATTTCAAAGAAAATTCAATTGAGAAATCTAGCACTTTTACTGTGAAATTCTATTGAATTTTCACTGAAGTTCTATCAAAGTTCCATTGGACATCAAATGAGATTTTATCAATCATTATTATGGATTAACCGAGCGCTTGAATTTTTTTCATTTCATAAACGTCTTTTCAATGTTGGAAAAGAACTAGACATGAATTGAAATTCTACTGAAGATTATGCAAATTTACAATTTGATTTCTGATAAATATTCAAAGAAAAAAATTCAAAAGATGTTTTTTGAAAAAACCAAAACATTGTGATTTTTTCAAGTGTATTATTCTCTCAAGATGTTTCTCCCCTAATTCTCGAAAAAGTCTACGTTTCCCCTCCTCCCCCATTTCTCCTCACTAAAAGAAAAATAAACCGAGAGCATCGCTGCAGTCCATTTCCTCAACTATGCAGTTCATTTCTCGTTAAAGAGGTGTTAAAAGTTCGTCCCTCATATTTCCCTCTATCACCCCCAGCTGCACATTCCCAAGGGAAAAGATCTAAATATCCCTGATTGTGGCGTTCGCCGTGAAAGAGCCGCCCCCATTACACGTGAACACCCCTCACAAAGAAGAGTATTTAAAAATCCGATAGATGAAGAACACCAGCACATCCAATAATTACTTGTCCCTGCCAATACTATCGATTCTGAGATAAAATATTCACACAATTGCTGTTAGCGTTGATGAAAGGCACCGTGAAACACGGCAGCACTATTAAAGACCCTTTACGACCAATTTCCCGGAATAACTCAGCTCCTAGCACGTGTCACTGCCTCCACGTTTAATTATTCATCCTAACGATGAGAGTCAAGTGTGTGGAAAGCTATCGCCTATCGAGAGCAGCGAGCACATCAGTGAAGGGAGAGAACATATCTTGTTATGTGAAACATCGGGACATGACGCCAGAGAGAATTTATCGTATCTTGAAATTTTTCGGTAGATTGAGTTGCACGTGGCCACCGGAGGAAAATGACAATAAATTCCGGAGGATAATCAATGATCTACAATTTATCGTCATGATGACAAATGTCATCGCTCTCCTGGTGCCACTCATGTGCGGAGTTTATCACAATCGCCATCACGTCAGCACCGCGATGAAGGCCCTCTCGGAATTAACGGCTCTCGGTGATGTCTTGTTCAATCTGATTCTGTGCAGAGTGCAACGGGATCGTTTGCGGGTATGAATTATATAGGGTTACGAAATAATAAATTAGCAGTGTGCTTCCGAATGGGTATTTTGCACGTCATTTCCTTCTATCACGTATAATTCATTGTTTATTTTATTTTATTAGATTGAGTAAGGTTTATTTTTAACTGATTTTGTCGGATTTTCATGTTAGTTCAATGGTATCATCATCATTATTCTTATTATCCTCATTATTATTATTATTATTATTATTATTATTATTATTATTATTATTATTATGTACAACCGATTGTCTTTTTTACGGTTCTACCTCTCCCCTCAGCCCTTCGATAAAATGTTAATAGAAAAATTTTATTTATACATACTTGAATGAATTTGAAACATCACATAAATCCGAATTAATTGCATTAAAACAAACATTTGAAGCATGATATTCAGAGATATCCTCGGAATTATAATTTTCAAAAAATACAAAATTTTTGCAAATTTTCAAATAAATCAAAATAACGATTATTGCTATCGCCTTCATCTTTGAACTCGTTCAAAAGGACATCCAAACAAATCCTTTAAGCCATCATGCAATCAATGCAGAACATTTTTTTAGTTATCGTGGGACAACCGATTTTTGAAAAAAATAAAAAATTAAAAAAACTAATCGATGAATTTAATTTTAATTGACGGCGATGGATAGGGCTTAACAATACCCGTATTTGAAAGACAAGAAGGTTTGATTCCATCCATTCATTAGCGAACAATTGCAGAACCATTCGGAAGCAAAAATGATTCGAATCGCTTCATTTGCTCGAACGATATCGTTTGACAAAATTTTAACCACACACATCCACAAAAATTACGGAACTCACAATTCGCTCGTCGATTACGGAATCGACTCAGAAAATTTAAGTGACGATATCGTAAATTTTCACAGGAGATTCGGATAAAAATTACTGAATGCTCTAGAAAAATTCCGTGACAGTTCCGTAAAATTTCCTACAACCATATTTCGCTCCGGAATTACGAGAAAGATACGTAATTTTTATTGAATATTTCTCTCCGTGCACAAATCATCGCAATTCCACATTTGATTTTCGGTGTAATTACCATAAATTCCTCCCTTCGGGTCGGGAGGTTGATAAGAACAACTATTCAGCCCCAAAAATATTTGAAGAAAGCCCCCCCGAAAGTTTTTCACTCCCAGAATTATCATCTCCCCTAATGATCAATCGCTGTTGACTGAGTGCAGGGATTATTAATGGAAGTGAACACCTACGCCAACACAGTCGAAGGAGACGAGAGGAAAATATTTCATCGAAGTGTCAACCAGTACCTACCATTTTGTGCATTCGTTGGACTATCATATCTCCAAACAGCTATTGCATTTTCCTTCGGGCCGCTCGTTATGTCATCAATACTCCCTGGCGATACTTGGTATCCATTTCCCATCGAAATATTTTCCACCGTATACTTTCTGGTGTACATCCAACAAGTCGTCGCTATTATTCAAACGGGAATGTGTATCACCGTGGATTTCATGGTTGCATATCTTCTCAGTTATCTCTCAGCAAGATTACAAATACTGAATATTGAATTTCGAAGAGTTGGAAATCGGAGACATCTCCATGCGTGCATAAAACAACACCTGGAATTTATAAGGTGGGAGATTCTGAGTGCCGAGAGAGGATTCATATTGACGGGAATTAATTTGACAGATTTACAGGTGAACTTCGCACAGCCGTTCGATTTATCATTGTTAAGGGGATTGTCACCATGGCCATGGCTGCTATTTTCGGGGCTTTCCCCATTATTGAGGTGAGTTATTGGCTTTATTGTTGATTGATCAAACTTCGTATTGACATACTGGAATAAATTGACCGAAGTACAGTCAAGGCTTTATATAAGATACCTTAGGGACAGTAGGAGAGCGCACTACGCGCGCTTATGGAGAGGAGAAAAATAGGGATCAGCGGTTTGAAATAAGATACCGCGCTTGTTGCGTCCGATTTCTATGGCATATTCAGTTTTACTGAATGGAGATTGATAACTAATCAATTGATACGAGTTTAATGTTTTGAATTCGTATAGCCTGCGTTCCCTTTTCTCTCTAAACATAAGCCCGCGTGATAGAATGGCAGCTGATGTTGGGGGATTGTTGGGGGACTTAAGAATAATCACTTCTGGATAGCTGAAGTACAAATTATTGAAAGTACGCAAATTAATTGAATTTTAATTAGGCTTTATTCTATTGAGATAATTCTGCGTCATCATTTTAATAATTATAGCGTCGAAGAAAAGAGGTGACCCTTGGGATCGTTTAACCCTTCTGATTACTTCACTTGACTCTCACGTTTCAACTCTTGACCCTTAAGGTCATTTGACCCTTATGATCACTTCGTTCGTCCCTCCCGTTTGACCCTTAACTCCGTTTGATCCTTATAATCACTCTTTTCCCGAGAACTCGAACACGGCGGATGTCTCGAACGAATGGGGAAAGTAGAGCGGTTTTCATGAGTACAATCGTCTTGCGTCGAATTTTCATGAAGCCCGCGTAACAAGTAAAAGAGAATTGCATACCATTCTATGAAACATGAATAAACGAATCATAATTGTCCAAATCATTCAGGTCAGAGGAAAATAGAATAATTCTACTTTCTTAATATTGCGTTTACTAAGGTTTCCTTCGAACAAAGTTGATTACAATTAATAGCTAGAATTATGAGATTATCTCACATTTTTGACGTTAAGAACAGGAGAATCTGAATGCAATATAGTGAAAATGATGATCGATTTTCTCACTTTGAACAAATAATATTAATATCCAAATACAAAATTTCGGATGTGAATAAAAAGAAGCTGTGACTCAATATTCCAAATGAAGTTTTAATTTTGAATTTGGGGCTGAAAACACGAGATGACAATATTCTAAGCGCGGAATGATATTGATGAGATGAACAACAGATTAATTGAATTACCGTGTGAACTAACTAAAAATTGATAACAGTGTGGGCACACACAAATCTGAAAAACTATTCTTCACATATGTTTCCTACAAAATTCCAGAATGAACCTCTACCCGTCATTTCTCAATTTATCCTCATGGTAATCGGTGGTTGTTTGCGACTCTACGTAAGTGCCTGGCCAGCGGATGATGTCCGCGAGATGGTACGTTGATGAAGACAATATCCACACTAATGGAGGAGGTGGAATAATTTAGTCGCCGTTAACAAGGCTTTTCAACTATTAATGCCATTCATCAACTATTAACGAATCGTGTTAATAGTTAAACAGCCTCGTTACCAGCAGCTAAATCCTTGTACCGCTGATAACAATGAACTTCACAAGATGATTTGTGACGAAATTCATATAGAGTGAACGAATTGGGTGGTCGAGCTACGCATCCCCATGGATCGGGAGTTCACGAGAGATGCAGAGAGCTATCAGTATTGTTGTTCATCGAGCTCACAGACCACTCGTTATTGCGGTTCATGGAATTCTTCCTGCGTTAACTTTGAAGTTTTATGCATCTGTGAGTCAGCATGACAGCATCTTTGCAAATCACTGAGTTGAACATTTCTGCTTGTTGTTTTTTCACGTGGATCTGATATTTAGATCTCTAATTACTCTTCATGAATGAACAAGTTTAACAGAAAATCCTAGCGCTGGACAATTCTATTGGTTTTCTATTGAACTTTCTATTAATTTTTGACCTATTCTACACTGAGAGAAAAACGACAAAATTCGGAAAATATTCTGTAGACAAAGTCAATAGAATTGGATTTTCCTATACAACTTATTCTATTGAGGTATTTTCAAATTTCACAATTTTTTTCATTCAATTTATCTTTTTTTTGCACCAAGAAATTGAAAAAAACTTGGAAAATTTGAGCTGAGAAAATTGTGTAGAAAATATTCTAAAGTGTTCAATAGAAATCCAATAGAGTTGTCTGCACTGAGAACAAAATTTTAATATCTGAAACATCAGTAGCGAAGCGGTAAAACGGTTTAAGTTGACTCCTAGTTGAGTTTTTGAGAAATATTTCCGAATCTAAAGGAGATAGCGAAATTTTCGTAATTACATATCTTATAGCTCTTAATCGGCTCTACAAAAAAGGTTATAACAACAATTTTTCTATCTCTCTTACATTCCGAGATATTCATTGAAAACTGGCGAATAGTCGAAATTGACTTAAACCGCTTTAGCACTTCGCCACTGATATTTACTTGAGGCAAATAATTTTTCTTCAGTCGCTTAATTCTCCCAGGTCTCATGCTTTAAAATATTCTTGTCCTCAAGTATTTTGTCGCGAATGAATTCACTCAAATCGCGTAAACTCATCGTCACTCTTCAAGTATTTATTTAGAGCTTTAAGCCATTGAAAATAATTTACTTCTCTCAAGTAAATATGGTCTGGATATTAGGAAATTTTTCTCTCGGTGCAGCGAATTGGCTAGGGTTTCCTATGAAATTTGTTCACATATGTTGTTCTGTTTCAGTTTTTGTCATCAACCCTTTCGTACTTCATGACTCTCCGAGCTGTACTGCGCAACTAAATTCTTCTTCCTCGCTGCGTACATGACACCTACTCTCCGTAATTCTCAATGTTCACAGCTATTTCCATTCAACTAATAATAATGATTATGAACTTTATACGTTACACACTAAAAAATTTTGATACTCTTGTTATGTCCGGAGATGTCAGCGTCAGAGGACGACATTTTAGGATCAAATTTAGTATTCCCGAAAGAGAATTTCAGAATTATTTTATCGATAAAGGGTAAGCTATGGGTTATCTTTTACTTATTTTAGGTTTTATTTTTAGGACGACGCTGTGCAGTCCTTTTCAGGTATAAGCAGGAGATTTTATTTAGAAACAAAAGATTGATTTCATTTTTTGTCACTGGCTTTTAGGGATACGAGATCGAATGCGCTGCGCGCGCATATCAATGCATGGATCGATCAAACGATTCATCGTTCTCATGACCAATATAATGCAATTCTCTATTAGAATTGATCAGGAAGATGGACATTGAATAATTTATATCAATTTTTGGGCAACATTCGAACTGAATATCGAACGATTTGAGTGAATACACGGAGAGAAATATTGAATAAAAATGACATTTTTTCCGCAATTCTGGAGCGAAATGGAATTCCAGAGCATTCCGTAATTTTGACCTGAATGTCCTGTGAATTTTGCGATTTCGTAATCCGTGAGCGAATTGTGAGTTCCGTAATTTTTACTGAACATTTCTCTCCGTGCTAGGAGAAATATTCTTATTGTTCTTCTTTTTATTATAGAGATTTCGAACTAAATCGCACAATTTCAGGGAGCAAGAGAAATATTTTTATTGGTCTCCTTTTTATTATAGAGAAGATAACAAACATGTCCGTATCATAATGAGTTGCGTTTCCTGAGGCTTTGACAATTCATTATTGCGAAAACGCGAAAATTTTCCGAACAAATAACGTCGTGACACATTTTGGCCATTTCCTTTTTACTAAAGAAAAGGAGGATAATAAACGGGTTCGCATCATCATGAGTTATGTGTTGTGATGCTTTGACAATTCATTATTGCAAAAACACAATAATGGAAAAATTCGGAAAAAAATAAACGCGTAATAAATTTTAGCTTTCTCCTTTCACGTACGAAAAAAATGAATAGAAAACCTGAACGAATTCGCTAGACAATTCTATTGGCATTCCCTAGAAATTGTAAGATTTCCTTAAAATTCTAGAGAATTCTCATTAAAATTCTATATGTTTTTTGCGCAGATTCTTCTATTAAATATTTGATAGGAGAGAGTCAATAGATTTCGATTTTCCTCTTCGAAGTTCTCCATTAAAATTATTGGGCACGGGTTTTATAAGTTTTTTTCGCTATATTTTGTCATGTTTTGCATTAGAAGATCCGAGTAAAAAAAACTTGGAAAGTTCATGCCTAAATGTTCTTATAGGAAAAATCCCAGAGAATATTTAGATAGAAAAATCGAAATCTATCAACTTTTTCCTATTAAATATCCAATAAAATCAGTGCAAAAATCAAACAGAATTTTAACAGAATCTCAATAGAATTTCCAGAGAATTCCAATAGAATTTTTTACCGAATTCGCCAAGTTTTTCTATTGAATTTTTTTCCCAAGTGTTTTATTACCAAAAGAATTTCACTGATTTTCAGGAATCTCTTACCAGTTTTGGACACTGACTAGAATGGCCTTGATCGTCAGTTAATTTTATCCCTGAAATTAGCGAAATTAATGACAATGTCATTAAAGTTTCGTGACAAAATCCCTGAATTTCAAAATTTTCTCTTCGCTGAAATTCACTCGAATTTCGCAATCGCAAATCCCTGTAGGGGTTCCCCCCCATAGGGAATTATTATAATAATTATGTGTAAATTCCTGAAAATTAGTGACATGTCCCTAAAAATCAGGACTCGTTACTCCCAGAAACTGACAAAATCCTAAAAAAAAATTTAAAAACATTTGAAATTATTTTTGCACACTCCAGTCTCACCTCGCCATGAAAAATTCGTAGAGAATTCGAGATAGAATCCCCACCTGCCGAAATACCATGACCCACTATGCACTTTTTATTAGAAAGCAAAATGAAATTGGGAAAAATTTCTCCTTTTTTCGAACTTTTGTGTAGAGAAATTGGAACCAGCACGAGAAGCAGTGTTAGATCAATACGAGGATAATACGATTGACCAACGCGCACCGAAGCGAGCCGCGTCCCCTTTTTTGCTTCACTTCCTCACTTCCAGCTGAATAATTGAGTGTTGTAACAGGATCAATTGGGAATCGATTGGAACAATGAGAGGAGACAAAAACGTCACAAGCCACAAATTCGGTGAACGGGTATATAAACGCCTATCATGTGACCGATGGATCCAGTGTACGATCAAGTCTGACAGAGTTAGCATATCAAATTCATTGGGGGTGGGTGAAAAAGATGAAGCGAATAATTCTGGAAGCACTTGGAATTGTCGCCCTCTGCGTGGTTAATGCGAGGGCAGAAAGTTACGCCCATTCATTCCAACATTTTCATGGTCCAGTTACGGGAGACGATAAAGAGGTGAGTTGGACCGATAGACACGGCTATCAACATCAGGATTATACGGCTGATCCGCAGTATGAATTTGCATATGGGGTTGAGGATCCTCACACGGGAGAACTCCATGGCCAGAAGGAGCATCATGATGGTAATGGGTTCTACTTACACTGAGGGGAATAAAAATTTGCTTTGTCGAAGAACTATGTTTCACGCGAGAATATTTGATGAAGTGGAGCATTTGCTTGAGAGAAATTGAACAACAATTGAATTTTAGAAAATTGAACGAATATTAAATTGTAGGTGTGATTGCAGTGGATACTCCCGATGATTTCGCTTCTCTAAGATTTCAGTTGGGGAAGGAGACTTCCCCCACCATTAACGTTTTAAGCGTGTGTGAGTAGTGTGTGGGCTCCTCTGCGCAACGGGAATGCGCAGGAGGACCACTTGTGGTACGAGAGAATTGGGACAGACGGATTCTCCCTCTCTGTTGCTCTTCTTCTTCAGTCAAACAATTTTTTGTTGTTTTCCAAGGTTTTTATTCAATAAACAGTCAGTATTTAGATATATGGATAGCTTAAAAATTAGAATCAAAAACCTTTTATGTTAAATTTCTTCTTGATATTGATTCAACTTATAGTCCATTAGTGACGCTCTAGTTTATTTTATACGTTTAGGATTTGAGTCCATAATATCATTTTATTCTGTTTGAGATGCAATTATCTTTGCAGCTGACATTTAAAAGTCTTAACTATTTTATGTGCTTAAAAAAGTAATAATCGTTTGCTATGTGTAAAAAAACGTAAAATCCAAGGGAGTATCCACTGGATCAGAAACATTCCTACAAAAATTTGAACTGTTGGAAAGAACATAATCTAACGTAGGATAATCATTTGATCTGAAAGAACTCCATAGGTTTATAGGACTGATAAATTTCTCACGAGAAGGTTTACTACTACGAAAATTATCGTGTTTTGGTGGAAAATTTCTTTTTTGTCCACAAATAAATTGATTCAACACGACGAGACAACATGACAAGATGAGCATTGAGCATTTTTTCTTTCTTTCAATGTTTTCAATTTTTTTCTGTAAATACGTACGAATAAATTTTGCGTAAAAACGTAGGGAACTCGCTAGGGAATTTTATTGGATTTCTATAAAACTTTCTGTTAGTTTATAGGTAGGTTTTTTTTTCGATAGAAATGGGCAATGAATAATGTTCTACAGAAAAATCAATAGAATAATTTCTACGGAAATTCCTCGTCTCCAATTTTCATCGATAATTGAAAATTGCCATCGAGAGTAATTATGGATATTCCTGCAGGCAAAGCAGTTACTGGGGAGTACACCGTGAAGGAGCCGGACGGCAATATTCGAAGGGTCAGATATCGAGCCGACGAGGATGGCTTCCACGCTCAAGTTCTCAACAGCAATGATCGCAGTGATGAAGGCTATTAACACATTTTGTTACAATTTCCTGTTGAAACTGAATCTCACCCCTGGAGATTGATGATCGAAGGAGGTTCACCGGCCTTGCGGTAGAGAAATGAGAATTAACTTATTATTGATGAGGGAAGTTTCAGTCGTTGGTTCGAATTCTTTTGTTAAAGTTGAGTAAGAAAAATGAAAACATGTTTCTAAAAATTGAATATTGACTGTATTATTTCACCCACACCCACAAAAATGATTCATTTGAATTAAATAAAGTTTGAATGAATGATTTTTTATTATTAATAAATCTTCATTTGATCTAAATAAATTCTTCGTTAATGATAAATAAAGATTTTTCTTATATTAAGAAAATATCTTTAATTGAAACGAATAAATTGGTCATTTGATTTTAATAAATCATTTATTTGGAATAAAATAATTGCTTCCTTGAATTTAATAAACATTTTGTTTGAAATTAATTACATTAAATTAATTAGTTAATTAATTAAATTCAATAATAATAAATATATATATTATTAATATTATTAATTAATTAATTCTTGAAACTCTTAAAAAAATTTCATGAAGATTTTCGATTCAAATGAATAATTTTTCCGGGTGAACTTTAACCCCTAGTTATCCCTGAGACCAAAAATTGAACACAAAATGGATGCAAATTGCAAAATCTTTTTTTTATTGTTAAATCATCATTAACAAAATTATCATTTTTAAAACATTATGATGCGACATCGCTTAATGGTACAAACTTTTCCTAACCGCTCTGCATGTGGCCAGCCAATATCGAGGGACTACTACGCCTACAGGCAAAAATAATTTCGAGCGCTGATATGAAGGCCTGCCCATTCCCCCTCGAGAAGTAATAATGAGGACAACCGTCTCAAGCCTACAGCCCCGATGGTACTTCAGTCGCTTTTCCTCTTCTTTCTCTGATATATTACCCTCAGCTGGAGGCGAGAACTCGATGACACAGATGATTTGTTCATCAAAAGCGAATAGGATGGATCATTATCATTATTATTTGATGTTTAATGGCTCCAGTTGTCCTGGATGATCATTCAGACTTACAGACGTTATCTTATAATGATGGGATTTCTTTTTATGATGATGTATCCTTTGATAGAGGCAAATTCAATCTATCAGGTATGAAAAAATTTAATAGAAAAATTTTACGAATTCGTTAGACAATTCTATTCGATTTCTATTAATTTTTGACCGATTCTATTGAAATGTTTAATGGAATTCGATTACCAGGGATCGGTAAGAGTTGTTAGTAAGTAATTTTTAAAGAAGTTCACCATACATTAATCACACTTTCTAATTTTTTAATTTAAACTTGAAAATAATTTTTAATTCTCAGAAAAATTAAATCAAAAATTAAATAATTTTTAATTTAATTGAAAATAATTTTACGCATTAATTCTACATATTTGAATTTAATTCTTCAATTACTCAAATAATCGTCATTCTTACGAAGTTAACTACTGATTTATAAAGTATGTGAAAAAATTTGAAATGTTGATCGATAATTAATATAATAAACATTGAAATGAATTTTGAAAAATTGTGCAGGACATTTACGTGATTATACATGTCATAAAATAATTTTAATTCTGTATCACGATTTTGCTTTTCTCTGTCCATTACTAAATTTTTCCGTATAATCGGCCAACAATTAACACAAAGTTCAACCGAAATCCAGTAGAAGTAATTTAATATAAAAATATTCAATCCAATCTCGCAATCTTGCTTAATTAAGGACAAGACGCTTAAGCAAACACAAAATTTAACTTTCAATATTATTCAAACTTGTGTTTACTTTGACCATTACACAGTAAAAAAATATCCATCCAATTACTTACGGCATAGAAAAAACGTGAAATTAAATATAAAACCATCATCAATAAAACTCGCGTGGCGAAAATTATTACTAAATCCTGAGTTTTTTTAAGGCTCATCATGACAACAATAATATAAAATTATTGGCCAATAGGTTACCCCCGAAATCCAGTAGAATTTTCTATCGAACTCGCATTCAACTTTTCTCCCAACGTATCAACTGCCAGAGAAAAAGTTCAATTAATTTCCCGACGCACTAAAAAAAATACCCCAAGAGCCGGGTGATTTCGTTATCGCAGATGTAAAACGTTTCCCAAGTAACGTACTCCCGCAATCAGTGGTGCCATCTCCAGCGGCGTCCCCGTCATTCCGCCAAAGTGCTCCATCTTCTTGTTTGCGCTGCGCAAGCGCACGTGAATTTTCCTCCTCAGTCAACTTCGATGAGCAATACTCATTACTCTCGCTTCCTCCGAACCGAGGGTGTACCCCTCCGGCGTCGATGCCACCCCCTCCCCCCTCGAGACTTTGATAAACTATCGGTTGAAATAACTCATGTAGCACTGCAGTTGAACAGAAGATTAACCCAAGTTCTGATTGCTCAAACGGAAGTTCAACGCCGAAAGAACTTGGACGAACTCCCCCACCGGATGCTATTAATCGATTAATTGCTATCGACTGATCGAGCGTAGATGATCAATGTCCATTCACGTGAAGCATCATGAAAACATCCGTGATTAATAATCACCCATGTTTTTGTTCCTATCTCAGTGGCATATCACGGCAAAATAAATATAGCAGTTGAGACCCGGCATATCAATAACAGAGAATGAGCCCGTGATTTTTCACCTCCCCACTGGCGCGCCAAGAAAGCCGCTCGAAGCTCGTACAAGTGGTGGTGAGGCATGCGCAGTGCGCCGCTTCTCCTCGCACACCCTTATTTCATTGCAGCTGAGTGGTTTGCTCGCTCTCTCCCGATGAGGCCTCTCACAAACAGACCAACACAAGCACTTCCTACAATTGAGTATTTGAATTATATATTCGATAAAATTGTAACTATGAAACGCCGCTGCACGCCCCGGCCCTATTAATGGACGGTTGAGCGACATATCTCCGACAGCTGCCTCCTTCGTTATTTTGCAATTTTTTTTTCATCAAGACTGAAATTGAATACGGTGTTTCTGGGAATTAATTTGAAATCGGTTCAACGCGGGGAAATAACAATCTGCTATTCAGGGAGGGTCGTGGTAGCTACCACTCACCGATGAGTGCTTCAGTTGTGGCAAATTTTAACTTTATGGCATGTTGTTATGAAGAAATGAAAAAACTCGGATGAGGGCTCCCGCGGGTGTCGAAATGTTGCGTCATCGACAAGAATTTTCTTCATTTGGGTTACCAGTCGTTGTTAAAATTACTGAAGATCGGTCTATAAGATACCTCGAGCTCCGAGCGCTCGAGGCTTACCCCCACTCTCGGCGCCTTTATCGCCTCCCGAATGTTGAGTTCCGTGGGCTTCCTATAAGATACCTGTGGCCTCGATCATTTTTCAACGGGAAAAGAGTGATTATAAGGATCAAACGGAGTTGAGGGTCAAACGGGAGGGACGGACGAAGTGATCATAAGGGTTAAATGACCTTAAGGGTCAAGAGTTCAAACGTGAGAGTCAAGTGAAGTAATCAGAAGGATTAAACGATCCCAAGGGTCACCTCTTTTCTTCGACGCTATAATTATTAATATGATGACGCAGAATTATCTTAACAGAATAAAGCTTAATTAAAATTCAATTAATTTACGTACCTTCAATAATTTGTACTTCAGCTGCCAGAAGTGATTATTCTCAAGTCCCCCAACAATCCCCCAACATCAGCTGCCATTCTCTCACGGGGGGTTATGTTTAGAGAGAAAATAGAACGCGGGCTACACGAATTCAAAACATTAAACTCCTATAAATTGATTAGTTATCAATATCCATTCAGTAAAAATGAATATTCCATAGAATTCGGGCGCAACGAGCGAGGCATCTTATTTCAAACCGCTGATCTCTATTTTTCTCCTCTGTATAAGTGCGCCTAGCTGGGGTTTATGGATTCCCGGAATTCCACTATCCTACTGTCCCTAAGGTATCTTATATAAAGTCATGAAAAAATTTTTTTTGTCGCGACAGTGTTTTACTACCCTCCCAAGGGTCAAAGAACACTCTTCCCACGACTATCAAATCCTATTTTTCATCACAATTAGTGAAGTGGGGTTTTGCGCGCCCTCCGCCTGCGTAAAATTTCGCTTTACGCACAAGTGACGAAAAATGACTTCACATCTTCATAGAAACTTCAACTCAGATAAAAGTGACAAAAGCTTGCAACCAGGACACCTGCCGCTGGCTAAAATTGACTCAAATGAATCAAGTTACCCCCCTCCCGCCTCAGTCACGCCGTGATTCCCCTGCACCCCCTCCCCCCTCCCACTTTCTGCATAAAACACTTACTGATTCTCATCGACTGACGGCAAACGAACCCCACCAAGAGGGATGAGTATCAATTACACGGCTACCACCCCCGTTGGAGTTTTTCCGGAAATTCGGGGTACTGAGTTAAGCCGTCGGGACACTGGAAATTCAGTGCGAACATTGTCTGGAGAAGCCCCGAGGTTGGTGCTTTACATTTGCATATGAATTGGCCGACTCCCAGAGTCTCCTGCGGAAAGGAGGTTGGAAACGTGGCGGAGGGCTCGGAGTGGGGGAACGGAGATACCCAGTTGTGTGGCACAACTCTACGAAAGGATAGACTTGTGCGATTAAGGAGAGCCAAAGCGGGCTAGGTAGCCGGAAGTTCCCCCTGAAATAGTTGGAATTACTCTTCCTATAGCATTCGGTACCCCCCACCCCCCGCCCCCCACCACTCACATAACATTCGTGAGGTACGTCCTTAAATTACGGCTTAATTAAAGTGCAATTACAATGCGGTTCGGACCAACTCAGAGTTCTATTCCGTAACCGACGGGGGTATACTTTGAGGGGAGGGGACAGGGTGGAAGGGGGAGGGGAGGGGGTGGCCTACTCACTTCAATGAGAGATGTATTTTGGGTGAGGACATGCACAGAATGACCCAGGCTTATTCATTTTGCCCGTAACCACTTGACATTCCAAGCAGACTCAGCCACCCAATTTTATCTATCCTCTGTACTTCATTTCATACGCTTGTTAGGTGCATCTCAATGGGGCTCCCTTTTCAAGGATGTAATGATTGTGACCCATAAACGAGTATCAGAAAATATATCTCTTGCCGAAAATCCCCGGGATAAGTTGACCATACACCAGTCGACCCCATGAATCTTTCGCACTTGCGCGCCAGGAGTGAATACTTTTTGGTTATCCCTCTTGGTATCTACTTTTTGGTCTTTTCCTTGGGAGTTATCGGGGGGTGGAGGGTGGGGGAGGGGGAATTCACTGACAAACAAAACTATTCATCTTTATTGGCGAAGCTTTCATGTAACTTATGAGTTATTCCGGGGATTTATATCGATGTATCATTGCCGATTTTTAGGAATACCATGTTTTGGTGAGGTCACGCTGTTGGAGGTTTTTCGAAATTTCGGGGAAATGTGGAGGTAATTCTCATGAATGTGACGTTGAATCCGATTTAGGGGGGAAATGGGTTTGAAGGTTCAGATTTTTTGTGGAATTCAGGGAAATTGATGAGTTGTCAGTGGAAGTGAGACGGTAATTTCAGAACTTGACATGACATGAGTTTTTGATTTTTACCACAATTTACCTATTTACAGAAGTTTCACGGAATTAAACTGAAAAATCAAGTATTTTATTGACTTTCAGATCATTTAAAACAGAGAATCAATAGAATATTTTTCATTATTTTAATTTAATGGAATTTGTTGTAACTTCCAAGGGATTTGCGACTGACCACCGTCTGAGGGTCTTCAGCCAAATATTTACATTTTATATACCTAATAGTTTCAATGGAATATTTGATTTTTCAATGAAAAGATTTCCTGAAATTTCAGTGGAAATTAAACACTATAAAAATTTCCGCGATTTGACATGGAAAATTCAGACGAAAATTTTTAACAGTGCATTATGGAAATCGCGATGATCAAATTTTTTCATTCAACAATTCGTTGGTTTTGTAAATTTATAATGTATGATTATCAAGGCGGGACCCAGGTAAATTTGACAGTCTTCGGTTGATGAAACTAACTGTCGAGTGACTTGATATATCATGGGGTACCTAAATAAAAAACTAAGATCAATTTCGCTCTCAACCCATTTTACTTCGTTCGTCGGGCGAAAACATAGTTATCCGTGTTTTTAGCTTTGAAATGTTCCTTGCACCACAATTTTTATCCGATTTAAACTTTTTGCTTCCGAACGCAAGCTTTGTAATCGTTCGAATTGAAGTTTTGGATTTTTTGTGTTATATCGACCCTAATGACGGGATGCAATTGATTTTTTTTTAATGTAGGTATTGTTGAGCCCTATCGATCGCCCTCAATTAAAATATAATTGATTAATTACTTTTTTCAATTTTCAAATTTTTTCGAAAATGGGTTGTCCCACGATAACTAAAAATAATGTTATAAATTGATTGAATGATAGCACAAAAAATTTATAGCCAGAAGAATATAGTCAGACATTTTTCTCTCAGTGCGTATACTGTCGATTAAAAAAGATCGTAAAAGCTCTGTCAATCCGCCAACACCAGTCGTTTTGCTGTTTTAATTTCAATTTTGAAATCTGATGGGCAGCATTTCCCCAGCTTTCTCCAGTAAAGATGATTCATAGTCCCTCCCCCGTAGTTTAAAAATAGGATGTACCGCCGGACGGAAGCTCTCAGTTTCCACATCTCGTTCCGGAAATTTAAGAAATTTCCAGTGTTTTGAGTCACAACAACTCGACCTGCCACTGTTTCCGATTGTCTCTCGTCCCATCAGAGGCTTCAGCCCAGAAGTCGCGTTCATCGCATTAACAGCCATGTTTACCCCCTCCCCCCTCCCCCTTCCGCCCCCATTTTTTCAACTCCCTCAGCTTTCCGCCGTTGCTACTCTAGAAACATGCGTGACCTCTGCGCGGATGTCCACACGTCGTGCTTGGTATGCCGAATTGTCTCGGTTTTTCACCCCCTTTGCGAGCTCACACAAACGCGCAAGCCCTCGCACACACTCTCCCCCATGTGTGGGGTAAGTCGGGTTGAATTTATACGAGTCATCCCCTCCGAAGTCGCCCCTAGCACTGGCTGCGCATGCTCGGACCAACAGAATTCTCCCCAGTCTGGGTTAATCTGCCTCGGGGGCGAGACTCTGTGTTATGGTTACTCGAATATAGCGTGACGCGAATATTTTTTACTTAAAAAAAATTAAACCCGACGTATCCAAAATGTGAGACAAGGCTGGAGAGATCAATCGGAGTTGAATGCGCGGCCAGCGGTGAGGAAATGCTTCCAATTAGTCCCGAGGAATTAATAATGCCGGAAATTGGCCAGGAGAGAGCCCGGAACCACCTGAGAATGCCACAAACACAGAAACAATATGATTAAGTGTCTCTGAGGAGGTTCTGTTCAAATGTCGGCGGGCAAACGCGAAATTTTCTTCCAAATAGCAACTTGGCAACAGAAACCGGGTGACTGATGTGCGTCGTCATGACAGTATCGCCGAGCTGTCACCATCTTACACAAGCAGAAACACCATCGATTCCCCCCATGTGGACGATGCTAAACATGAGAAAGCCTAAATGAAACTGAAGACGAGTTGATCGGTAAGCGTTCGGCGGATCGTGCAGTTGTTCAACTCCACTCGGGTGAGGATTGATTAATAATCGCCACCGGCTACGATCACCGGGTGCTCGCACTAATGCTCAATTCTCATCATGACGTGCATTGATTAACCGATCGAGCTCGACTGATGCGAGTAGTCTCAAAAGTGAATGAATTACGAATATCGGCGCTTCGAGCTTTGCTATTTGTTGTTGACTTGACATTATCCCTGGTGAATTATTTTCTGAAACAATCAGTGCGCATCTACTGGAATTGATATTGATGCTGGGGCTATGGGGCGGTGTCAGGAGTCATTTGCTGACATTGACGGGGTTGTTATTACCTTAATTACGGTTTTTCCGGTTGTTTTTTAGACGTGATGTATGACTAGTGGCTTCGCCGTTGTGCACGAGAAATAATGGTGTTTATGTGTTGTGCTGGCGGGTCGAGCACGGGCCAGGAAAAGAGAGTTTGAAAGGGGGATATGTGCCGTTTGGACGGAATTTATGGATTACCTGAAATTTAGTGTTTATACAGGGGAAATATAACACGGAAATGGCTGTGCGATGGCAAACGAGGTTGTCCATTGTCGCCATATTCTTCATGTGTTCTGAAGGTAATTTTCATAATTTTATTACACGAGGGAGCGCATTCGGGGAATTCATTGCCATTGTTTAGTTGATTCTGTCCTTGTGGAATAAAAGAGAATTGAAGTAATTTGTTATTTTCTGGAGGTACACAAGATTCTCTGAGGGAAAACCAAAATAGAACATAATTATTGCAAATAAATTCTGTAAATTAGTTACATTATTACAATTTTTTTTTCGTTAAATTTTTCTTTTTGGTTTGTTGATTAATTTTCATTCATTATTCAGTGAACGTATTTGGGTTGTTTTGTATTTTATCTGCATGTAATTTGTTTATTAAAGGCAAATAAATTGTTAGGTGGATAAACGTATGCGTTCATTGCATCGTCAATTAAATACAAATAATTTGTTTGTGTATTTATATTTTATTTTTTTACTGTTATTATTATCGGATTAACCCAGACGATTTCAAATTCGAGTGTGAATTATTACTGTTATTTGAAAATGCATCCAATTATTGATTTGTTGATTTCATTATTTGGTTATTTTTACGTACTTTTTAGATGAAAAGAATTTTGCTATGAGTTTGGGAGGTCGGAAATATATATATATGTGTTCCCAATTCCTAGAATTTCCATTTATTGGAATTAATATGGAAATTACGGTTGATTTTAATTACATTCCTGGTGATTCTCATTGTTTTCCGAAGTATTTATCATGTTTATTTCCGCAATAAGTAACAAATAGTTGATAAAATTATTATGAATAAAAGTAATCAATTTTTTTCGGGGGTCCGTCTTACCCGCCTGGTCCATTTTGTCCTACCCGGTAGGGGTATTCTTGAAATCAAGAAATCATTGGAATCTACTAGAAATCATGGAAATCACAAGAAATCAAACGAAGTTATGATTTCAAATGCTGATTGAGAAATCACAAAAATCATTCGAGAAATTACAGAATTCCACAGGAAATTACCGGAAATCATCTGATTCTGGAAATCACTGAGTCAGTCGGTTGAGGAGTGATCAGTCCCTCGGGATTTTATCTCGGAATTTACGGATTTTTCTCTGTCAGCATTGGTAATGTCTCGTATTCGGGATGTATCTGCATGCGAGTTCGTAATTGAGGGTGTAATGAGGATTATGAATTTCATTGTGAGTGTAATGGGGAAAGTGGGCTGTCTCAATTGGAGCATTGATTAATGAGTTCCGGGCAGAATATTTACGGAATATAAATTACAATCTGATTTTTCAAATGGTAATTAATCGATCGACCGAACATTCTCGACAGATGCTCCACTCTGGTCCCGAAATCATGATTTCTCCAGTGATTTCTTGAAATCAAGAAATCATTGGAATCTACTAGAAATCATGGAAATCACAAGAAATCGAAAGAAGTTATGATTTCAAATGCTGATTGAGAAATCACAAAAATCATTCGAGAAATTACAGAATTCCACAGGAAATTACCGGAAATCATCTGATTCTGGAAATCACTGAGTCAGTCGGTTGAGGAGTGATCAGTCCCTCGGGATTTTATCTCGGAATTTACGGATTTTTCTCTGTCAGCATTGGTAATGTCTCGTATTCGGGATGTATCTGCATGCGAGTTCGTAATTGAGGGTGTAATGAGGATTATGAATTTCATTGTGAGTGTAATGGGGAAAGTGGGCTGTCTCAATTGGAGCATTGATTAATGAGTTCCGGGCAGAATATTTACGGAATATAAATTACAATCTGATTTTTCAAATGGTAATTTATCGATCCACCGGGGGCTTCTAGCGCTGTGAACAATTGGGTTGAATAACCCAAATAAAAATAAAAATAATAAAAATAATTTAATGTTACTCTCAGGGTAAACATAAAGTTTCCAATTCCACAGATTTTTCCCCAAATCAAAAACCTCAAAACTATTTTCGCCTGACTTCCGAATTAATATCAATTTTCCCCGAATAATTGAACTGAAATTGATCGGTTCCATTGTTTTTTCCATCAAATTGTGAATTTTTCATGCAGAGAATTCCTTGAAATGTCATTGGACGACTCAAGACAATTTATGGTGACCAATGAGGATTAATGCCTCATTCAATGTCATTTGACAGTTCCTACCGAAGCGCAATTTATCGGATTATGACCTAGCCAGTAAGTCACAACCGAGATGTATAACAAGTACTTGCCTGTGACCCTGCAGAAGGGATCGTTCAGGAAGATGCCCCAGTTTCCCTGGCAGTGCTCTAGGCTCTTGATCCTCTCGTTCGTCCGGCGCTTGTCGGTTTGCATCACCGTAGATTTTCTCGGTTTACACAGTTCTCCTGTCAATATTTCAATGGGTATCATTTCCGCGACAGCCGACGCCCCATTCTTGGACGCGATGCAGTAAGCACTTGATACTCTGAGAGCACTGAGTCGGTGGACTAATATCACTTTCGTGCACGAGGAGCATATAAAATTAAAAATTGCTATGTATTGTTAGAAGAACAATGAAATTTCAGGGGCAGTTGACTACTAATTTTCACGGCAGTGACACCAGGGATCCCCATTAATATTAAATTTCTGTAATATTACAAGGATTTGACCCTTACATTATTGAAGGTTTAAAATATGTTGATTCTATGTCTCAAATAATATAATATTAATAGTCTGATTTTTTACGAATAATGATATATATAAAATTTGATAATATGCAACTGTAAATTTACTACTAAGTGAATAGTTCAAATTTCTTGAAAGGGATTGTCGATTACACAAGTAATCGTCAATCTTCCTACCTCAAATTATTGATTGATAAAATAGTTGAAAATTTAAATCTTTGAATTGATGATATTTAAGTATTTAAAAAATTTCAAGAGTGATGTTGTCTTATTAAGGGCTACAATATTAACCGTAATAAAATATTACCATTTTGGCTATCCCTGAGTGACACTGAATACGATTTAGGGGATAATTCAATTTGATAAGAATTTCTAAGAAGTGTACGGGAAATTTTTGACAGAAATTTTTAACAGTGTGTGAACACAGTAAACAAGAACCATATCGGAAAAACTTTAAAATTTGTTCTATTTCAACCGAATATTTGCGATGTTGAATTCATTTTTTACGATTCAACACAGTAATTTTTAACGCACAAAACAGTATAAAAAGCACGGACGAAAAAAAAATTTTCAAAAGTTTTAAAAATGCTTTATTTTTTGCCAATCTGTACTATTGAACGACGAGAAATTACTCAAACTTCCCCTTGAAATTTCAAGTGGAAAAGCTTGAACTTTTTAACAACGACGAAGTTACATGAAATTTCTGTATATTTTTCCATTGAGAAATATTCATTGAAGAAATTCCCGAAAAAATGTATTCAACAATGAAAAATCTGAAAAAGTACAGGGATGGCAGGGTTTTCTACAAAACTGGAATCATGTTTGAAAAAAAGTTGAACTTTAACAAAATACTAGGATGTCCTTAAACATATGACACCAGTGGCACAAAAGATTGTCAAGTATGAGTCCATTTAAAAATTACTGAATTCATGAAAAGAATTGGGTTAAACCAAAAAATAAAAAAGATATAAAAAGAAATGACATGTCCGCGCACTAGTAACGAAGATAAAAGAATGACGAGCCAGAGAGAGACGATCGTACATGAAGTTAGTTGAGCGGGAGGAAAAGGACAAATACGTAACAATATTGTATGTCACGAATGTGACTGTATAATCCGAGCCAAAGGCCAAAGGCTCGGATTATAGAGTCACATGCGTCAGATAATACTTTTATCGCCTGATGACATATCCCATTTCGAGTGTGGCTGACATGGTCCTGCATTTAATGTCTCATATTAACCCTAGACTGGTCGCCATGCGAGGGAATTGCCACAACACGTGGTTTTATTCACCTTGTCATCGCCTGGCTGACCGGAAAAATTTGAGAAAAATTGAATTCGTCAATTGAAGTATCTGGAAAATTCTAGTAGTTTTTTCTCAATATTGTATCCTTAATTCTGGGAGAAAAAAAAAATATCCAACAGGTGAACAATTTTTTCCCGTGTTAAATGAAATTGCCTGTTGCGCGACGTTGCTGGAAACTCGCTAAACGCGCCCGGGAAGTGTAGAGTGGATTCGGCAACGCTGGAGCCTAAATAACAGGGCGGCACTCTCCCGCGAAGGTGACTAAAGTTGCATTTTCTCGTCAGGTGACCAGACTAGGGTTAAAAAATACAACGTTCCAACGGTGAAAAGTATTTTTTTTATTATTTCCGTGTGGATTGTCATCACAATAGCCCCAGATTACCGCATGATCACTCACACGAAAGATTACAAGGGAGTATTCACCCTTGTTTAGCGTGTTTCCACCTTTTTCGATGGCGTTTCACTTTTTTCTGCTTGAAGGATAGAGTAATCGTGAAGAAATTCAATGGAATTTCGTGGGGTCAGCGGTAGGCCCCATTCTATTATTTCTTTTGATATAAAATATTCCCTGTCGAGAGTGATTCACACCGAAAGAATGATGAATCATTCATACATTCGAGTCATTTAATCCCCTGGGCGGAAGTGACGGAAATATTCCTTCATCAATAAGGCACGAGGGGAAAAACTCGAATTGGAAAAAGTCGAACTTGAAATATCTCGGATGAGGGAGCGCTTCAAAGGAAACACCGACATATGGCAGTGAAAAAAAATGGGGACTATGAATGGGCATTTTCATGAGCGATTTTTGGGATAATGGCAGCCGTTTGCAAAGAGTATTTTTAGCTTGAAATAAGGAATGAGTAAATAATTCAAAATAATATCGACCAGTTCATATTCTCCGTCTCTGTACGCTTGTATGTTTGTTTATTACCGACGAAAATATTGTGAATAAAAGATGAAAGTTTCGTAAAGTTGTTTTATATCGACGTTTATTTTTATTGGGGCAAAAATGCATATTGCTAAATCATCGTAAATTCTGGGCCACGTCGGCCCTCAAAGTTTACATAACAAAGACAGAATGCCATATTGAGCGAATATTAAAGTAGCAAAATAGTATATTTCGATACGAGTGAGACGGAATTTTCAGGAGTTTGGCGTTGGCGGCCCGAGGCAAAGCCGAGGGCTGCCAATTACACGAGCTGAAAATTCCCATATCACATGTGTCGAACAATATTTTTCGACAGTGATGTTGCGTTCAGCGAGTGGCCGAACTGTGCCTTTTTCGTTTACAAGTAAACGGTGTGACGAGTAACACTGCATGGAGTGAATGATACACTGACTCAGTGCAGTTCACAGTGAATAGTGTGAAATGGACATTTTTGGATTTTTCACGGGGTCAATAAAATTATCAACATCGCTCTCAGTTTAACGAAGGGCTCGGTGTTAATTTCACTCAGAAATTTGGTTGATTCTAACATCAAAATATTTCACTCCGCTCACCGCGGACTTGAACCCGTGGATTTTTTACTGTGTAAAATACTCTGAACGGGGGTTGACGCGTCCCCACTTTTTCGGTACTGACGTCAATAATGCTTGCCTCTCCTGTTTATGTCCACCAAAACAAGCGCGGAGATCGCTTCGTTCAAGTTTTTCTCGTCTCAGCGAAAACTCCCGGGAAAACCACCAGAAGCCGTGCAAGCGTGGAACAAGCGCCCATGATCAAATTTTCATTTCCCTGGAGAGCGATGACAGCATATGATATCATGGAAATTACATCATCGTTTATGGAAAGTCACTAAATTCATGGCGATGAACATCTGTGATCGCGTGATCACAAGGCCGTTGAAAAAAATTTCTTCCATAAATGAACGGGCTCAGTTGGGGGTCTTACGGTCCGGGTATCGCATTCATTTCGTGGATGCATGGAAAAATGAATTATTATTCCCGAACGCTCGCTCTCCGTTATTTTTTTTTGTAAAAAATTATGGAATTTTATAGAGAAAAAATTATTGATTTTCAGGAACATGTCCCCGATTTCCAAGAACATTTCAACGATTTTTAGGCATTTATCACCAATTGCTGGTGATGGTAGACACTGAATAGAATAATTCTTATTATCAGTGATTTTTATCACCGAAATTTGCTGATAGATTCCTAAAAATTAGAAATGGTTTCTTCAAAATCTGAAATATTTCCCCGAAAATTAGTGACGATTTCCCTGATTGGACGGTGAATTGAACGCCCAAAAATAGTTGATTATTAGCACCGCTACTGTATAATAATTCAGTAGCGAAGCGGTAAACCGGTTCAAGCCCATTTTGACTATTGATCAGTTTTCTATAAATATCTCGGAATCTAAGGGAGATAGCAAAATTTTTATCATTACCTTTTATATAGACAAAATTAAGGGCTACAAAAAAGATTGTAACAAAAATTTCGCTATCTTCCTTAGATTAGGAGATATTCCTCGAAAACTCTGCGGAAAGCCAAGTCCACTTGATTATTTTACCGCTTCACTACGGAATTCGCGATAGACTTCTAAAAATTAGGGATAAGTCCATGAAAATCAGTGATATATTCCTGAAAATCAAAACTTTTTTTCTGTATTTCCAGAAATTTCAGGAAATTCCCAAAAACTGTAGATCACAAAAATAAAAAAAATTGCTTTCTTGAGTTTGCTCAAGCGAACAAGTTATAATTTTTCAGAAAGTTCTGGAAATCTCTAGAAAGTTCCGCAATTTTCCACAACTTTCAACCTTGCATATTACAGTATGCAACGTAGCGCAATAATTCACAGCCCATGTCCTGACGGGGACCCTAAACTAAGTAGCCCTGAAAATTCCATTGAAATAATTTCATCACTTCTCCCGTGAACAGGGGACACTGAGGGCAACAGATTCATTATACGCTAGATAAGATAAGAAGACAATATATCTGCATTATAATGAGACAGCTACACAGCTGGAAAAAAATGAAAGTTCACACTTTACCGAAAATCCAATGGAATGAAAGAAGTCGACAATTTATGGATTTATTTCAGAAGCGAAGCGGTAAAACTGTTCAAGTCGATTTAGTCCTGAGCTGACTTTTCGACGAATATCTCCGAATCTAAAGGGGATAACAAAACTTTTGTAATGACCTTTGTTGTTCAGCGAATTTGGGGCTACAAAAAAGGTCGTAACAAAAATTTGACTATCTCCCGTAGATTTTCAGATATTTATTGAAAACTGGCCAATAGTCGAAATCACAATTATCACAATTACCAGTACTGATTTCAATTTTCAATCAACTGAAAAGTCAAGAATGTATTTGTCCGAATTTATCTGATTTCCAGGAATTTATATGGAGTAATGGACTTTAAATTTACCATTTTAATTGATTTTTCCTTCATATTGCGAATTTTCGATGACGAAATCCCTTGAAATTCGATTGAAGACAAAAATTTCCAAAAAATATTTCGAGAATTTCCTTCAAAAATTTCAGATACTCACTTTTAAATCCATTTTTAAAAAATCCAGTGTAACGATTTTTGAAGCCTGTACTCTGCTTATCAAGTAATGTAAAATGATATCTATATACATTTTTTTAGGTACAATAATCTTTTGTTTACAGTAATTGCCAAAAAAAAAGAAATTGATTTCTTACTGTAATAAAAAATATATAGTTCTGTAAATAATATGTATACAATAGTATTATATATATATATTATATAATATATAGTGTATACGGTATGTAGCACATGCTCCATATACTATATGCATATACATATTTCATACGGAAAAAAATTTGAGTCAAGTATATTTTATTTCAATTCAAGTATTTTTTTCCATGATACATAAAAAAAAATAAAGTATAAAAAAATATATATAGGATAGTATATTTGTATATAATAAACGAAACATCCCTAAAAATAAAAAAAGAATCAAAAAAGCAGAAGAGAAACGAAGAAGAAGATGAAGAGGCTCATGACGATTTCAAATAAATTATTTAACAATTAAATTCTCACTGTGAAAAACTTTGTTGAAACTTAATGAAAGTGAGAGACGGTAAGGTTTTACTATTCTCCCCTGCAGTGAGAGAAATTTCAATGGTAATTTTAACTACAAGGGAATTGTCAAGGAAATTATATTTACAGTAACAATAAACTTTGTAGATTAAACTAGGATTCATCGTTCGATTTACTATGTCAAATAGTGTCATCAACATTATGATGTAATTTTCACTTTAAGGTAATAGTTGAATCTACAATGTTTATTGTTACCGGAACTATTATTTTTTTGACAATTCCCTTGTAGTTGAAATCACCATTGAAATTTCTCTCAGTGTGGTCCAATAATGATCCTCCTCATTCTGCTGGTATCAATGCAACTCTAGCCTCTCAAATTCCCCATTACAGATACATTAAGCATGGGTGAGGGTGTCATGCAGAAGCCTGATCACCACCCCAGTCAGGTTAGACCCCGACAGCAGATGATCGATTATTCGATCAGTCATAAGACGATACTGGAGCCGACATTTGACGTCACCCAGGCCACAAACGTCACAGCTCTCATCGGGAAAACAGCTTATCTAACTTGCAGAGTGCGGCATCTCGGCAATAAAACGGTACGTTCCATGCATGAAAATGAGGGTCCACATGCACTGTAAAAACTAGGGTCTTGAAGTCGTCTTAATTAAAGACATTAGACGTAAAAATGTGTCTTATTGTTGAACTTCGCGATGATTGCAATGTCGACATTTCTGTAAGACATTTATTTCTACACAATAATTTTGTAAATTAAGACAACGCAAAAATTTTCAGGGATCACGAGGGTCAAAATAACGGGTCACAAGGGTCATATGGGGGTTAAATGGGATCATCGTCTATCGAATTCATCTGTACTAAACATATTCAAGGCGTTGGGGGAGGGGGAGCGAGCGAAGCGAGCGGAGGAGGGAAAGCCCCCGGGATTGATGAGCGAAGCGAGCATGGGTCGAAGCCCCCTAGTTTATAATGTTTTGAAATACAAGTCACCGAATTTAAGACATTTTTTCTGCCTCAATTCAACAAATAAAAAACCACAATGTTGAAAATTTTTGTCTGAATTTTCCGGTACACTTTTTGGAGATTTTTATCCAATTTAATTACCATTGAAATTTCAAGGAATTTCGAGGAAGAATTGAAGGGAACTGTAAATGGGGTCATCGTCTATCGAATTCACCCGTACCAAACATATCCAAAGCGTTGGGGGGGGGAGGAGGGGCGAGCGAAGCGAGCGGAGGAGGCAAAGCTCTTCGGCATTGACGAGCGAAGCGAGCACGGGGTGAAGCTTTTTCTAGAAAAATTCTAATACGTGTACTGAAAAAAATCACAATCCACCGGCTGTGAAAAATTCTAGTGCTGTTAGGGTAAATTTTCTGGGGATTTCTGTGAAATCTCCACAGAAATACGGGGAAAAATTCACGTTTTCCCCAATAAAATTTCTAGTGCCGACACTGGAATTTTTTCCTGGCTGTCACTCTGCGCCTCTTTTCCTATGCTAGCACTAGAATTTTTCGAAAATTTTTTTCTCTGTGTAGCGAAGTGGTAAACGCTACAAGTCAATTTTAACTGTTGACCAGTTTTCAATGAATATCTCGGAATCTAAGGGAGATAGCGAAATTGTTATTATAACCTTTTTTGTAGAGCCGATTGAGGGCTACAACAAATATAATTACGAAAATTTCGCTATCTGCCTTAGATTCGGAAATATTCCTCAAAAACGCAACTGGGAGATAAGTCGACTTGAAACGTTTTACCACTTCGCTACTGAATTCGTTAATAATGACAAAAGAGTTTTTGTCTAGTCTGAGATGCACGGCTTAATGTCTCAATTTGAGACCCTAAAGACGACTAACGTTGTGGGGCAAACGTCTTAAAAGCGCTTCAATGTCAGACACTTCTTTTCCTGCTGCAGTAATTCTGAAGATGTCCCTCAACAGTCGTGATGGTATTCTGCGCATTCGACGGTTTTATCCAGCATTTCCGATCCTCCCACTCGCGAAATATTGTCCTGGTTATCCAAGAATACGATAATCCCCGTCTCGAGGGGATTCAACCGACGAATATCTCCCCAGGCTCCCTCCCCGGGAGGTTTTCTAAATCCGAATTCTCCGTGAAAACGTGGCACAAGAAACCAGGGGAGTAACGATTTTCTCCGAACAGTATAATACCTGTATACAAGCGCGATGTGCATTCAGAAAGTATTACAAAGCATCTGTTACCGATTATTATTTATTATTCCGCAGGTGTCGTGGGTAAGGCTCAGAGATATTCATATTCTAACAACTGGAGCGTATACCTACACGAGTGATCAACGATTTCAAGCATTGCACAGACAAATCAACGGTCACAATAATGAGTGGTCGGAGTGGACATTATGCATAAAGTGGGCGCAAGAGCGGGATGAAGGCATCTACGACTGCCAAATATCCACTATACCTCTCAAGTCACATCAGTTTTACCTGAATGTCGTTGGTTAGTAAATGTGAACTAGTGCAATTAAAGGAATTCAGTAACGAAGTGCACGGAGAGAAATTTTTGATAAAAATTACCCTACCGTTCTATAAAAGTGTATCATGAGTCATCGTTTCCTCATTTCTGTCCCGAAATTTAGTAAAAATTAATATATGATGATCAAATTTTATTCTACGTTAGAGAAATTTTATCCTGACGCATAATAAATTTTACCCTTCCAGTCCAGTAATTTTTAGTCTACCGGCACGGTAATTTATATTTTTATCAGGATAAAATTTCTCTAGCGTAGAATAAAATTTGATTATTACATATTAATTTTTACTAAATTTCATAGAAATGAGGAAACGATGACTCATGATACTTTTACAGAACGGTAGGATAATTTTCATCAACAATTTCTCTCCGTGGGGAGAACGGTTCAAACGGTTGAATATCTCTTAGTTGATGATTCAATATTAAATTGAATCCCCCCATGATGATTCAATATTAAATTTTTGTCGTCCAGTGCCAACAGCAACCATACTAGGAGGCCCGGAAATGTACGTCGGCACTGGTAGCACCATTAACCTGACGTGCGCCATTCGATTCAGTTCGGAACCTCCAGCCTTCATATTCTGGTACTACGCCGACAATGTACTGAGTTATGACAGTCCTAGGGGCGGTGTCTCAGTAATAACTGAAAAAGGTACAGGCGTTACTACGTCATGGCTGCTCATCCAGGCAGCTCAACTATCGGACTCGGGAGAGTACAGTTGTAAGCCGAGCAATGCTAATATTGCATCCATACGCGTACACGTTGTCAACGGTGAGTGTATGCTGTGTACATGATTTGACTCTGCAATGCCGATGTTGAGTTAATTGGATTCGAGAAACATTAGAGGGGATTTAGGTCTTCGGGGGAGACGATGTCCCTGGAAATTAGACCTCATGACATTTTTTCCTTCCGAATGAAACTTTGTGATTGTTTAATGAATATAGACTTTAGTGAGCTTTATTTATTGACAGCCATTAAAATTCAATTTTTAATACAGATTCGAAAAAATTTGTTTTTCCAAAAATCGATTTTTCAACGATCACTCGAAAAATTGTCATCAAAATGAAATTAATCATGACTCAAAAATCATGCCCTCTTGATTCTATCAGAATATGATGGGGGTCGCACGAAAGAGAAAATCGGTTTTTTCATTATTACTGAAAGAATCATCAGTAATAGCAATTAAATCAGTGCTTGAAAAGTATATTTCAATGGCTTCTTAATCAAGTTGAAAAATGGTGAGAACAGCATCATTGCTTATCAAGTTACACAATACCGTCATGAGCTTTTTATATCAAAATCTCTATCTCTATTAAACTCAGGTAGCAGTCTATTATGTTGAATACTTATTCATGTTGATTCATGATCCCGACTAACTTCTGACAGAAGCTGGGTTAAACTCCGGCTAAATCCTGAATAAACCCTGATTAAAGCCCGGCTACGCACTGATTAAACCTTGATTGAACCTTAATTAAACCCGGACTGAAAACGAATTCGAGTCTTGAGAGGGTCTCAATGTAGAATTATTCGACAGAACGAAACAATACGCGAAATTTTGATGACATTTCAATTGATGATAGTACTATGGCATGAAAAAATAGAAGAAGAGAATAGCGTAATAAGAATTTAAAAAAGAAAGCCCATTCGGAATTAAATTGCTAATTTATTAGCAATAATAATTGTACTCATTTATAAAAAAATGGATTTTTTTGCATGATTTTTTGCATGAAAAGAAACTTTAAAAAATAAAAAAGCCGATATAATTCAACAGAAGATCTATAGGAAAATTTATACTTATTGTTTTTTCCCGTCAAAAATTGTCCATAAAAAACGTCCGCGATTTTCCAATAGAAAGTCGATGAAATTCCCTAGTGCGCTTGAATTTTCTACTAGATGTTTCCATATTCTCCATCTCATGTTCGAGTACCATATTTGACGCTCCGAGCTGATGAAAAACAGTCTCTATTTTCCTCTGTCATTTCTGAAATATCTCACTCCGCTAAAAAATGCACATGTCAGGCCATCATAACAGTATTTCGGCGTCTCCTCGCTCTGGGAAAATTGATGCCTGACCTTGTTTAAGCCTCCGGGCACCCTCCGGAAGCTCGTAAAAATAAAAGTAGCAGAAACAATGTGTAATCGAATCCTCCGATCTTCCTTTTGTCACATTCACCTCAATCCACTCGGTAAACAAACCATCATTATTTTTCTGGTTACAGGCGAACGACCGGAAGCAATGCAAACCGGAACTGCAGGACCTATTTTATCATCAAGCTGTCTTTTGGTATCGCTCATAATTTTGTACATATCCTCAGTGTGAAGTTTGTGGAACAATTACAAATAATTGGAAAACACTGAAAGTGACATTGAAAATGAACAGTATAACATAAGAGCTAAATATGTTTGAATTTGTGGATAAATAGCTTATGTAAAAAGAATTAAGTCGTGATATTAAATAGCGGATCGTCGACACTGATGATTATTACTGACGATAGGAAAACATTGAGAAGAAAATAAATGAGAATGTGAGTGAATTTTACGCCCTAAAAAATTTGAAGATCTCTGTCCATTCTGACCCCTCCTGACCTCAGATGCCCAAAATTTTCCTCCCAAGGTGCATGATCAACTCCTAGGCAAGCACTTCAGTCAACACAAATAATTTACTCAGGTACTCCCTCCGGAATCAAATATTTTCGGAAACTTTCACGGGGACGTGCCTCGAATTGCGTAACAATTCCAATGAATTTCATTCTTCAATTTCTCGAAGTGTAACATGACATTACCACATTTTCGTGACAGTGAATCACTGATGCGTTTCAGGAAAAATCGGTGAGTAATATGACAAAAGTGAGGGATTTACTGATATTCACATTCGTAGTTTCAATCTTTTTTGTCCTGAGAGATCGGATCAATTCGTAAAAAAAATATCCCCCATTTGTTCAATCGATCTATTCTCAATAACGACGACGATAGTTTCAAGAATTTAGAATAACAAGAAAAAAAACAAGAAAAAACTTTAAAAATTCTCCCTTTTCACTTGAAAAAATAACTTTCCTGTTAATTACGCCCCTTTGATTCTCCGATCCCGATATGCATTCCGGGCCACTTGATAATTTTCCAACGTACAAGAGCCAAAATGTACCAAGGGTCAACGTGTTAAATATGACGGATCCGTAACACTATTTCTCAAGGCATATTCGATGAAAGCCGGCAAGAAAGTTTATTATAATGCACGGATCGTCACCCGGCGAAGAGTATTTATATTAGTGACGACATGAGAATAGGTTTAGTTGACGGTTCACCAGTCTACCGAGTACAATAACAATCGCATATAGAATATTTCAAGTTGTCAAGTGAGAACCGGAAAAAGTGTCACATTCATCATCTCGAACAGTGATTAACACCAGTGCCATGGAAATACCGACATTATGCCTGGTATGAGTTACAATTACAGTCCAATCTTCATACAAGACTGCACAGGGGCAGTAGGGAATAAATTCTGAGAATTACATATCTCCCATTTTTCGACTTGATTCAAGTAGATTTTTTGGCTTGATTGAAGACGATTTTTTGGCTTGATTCAAGGTGATTCTAGGGAGTTATATATGGAGTGGTCGAAAAATCTACTTGAATCAAGCCGAAACATTGACTTGAATCAAATCAAAAATCGACTTGAATCAAGCTGAAATTCGACTTGAATCAAACCGAAAATTCGCCTTGAATGGAACCGAATTATTGACTCAAACCAATTTAAAAAATCGACTTGAATCAAACCGAACCATCGACTTGAATCAAATCGAAACATTGACTTGAATCAAACCGCATGATCGACTCGAATCAAGCCGAAAAATCGACTTGAATCAAACTGAAAAATCGACTTGAATTAAGCCGAAAAATCGACTTGAATCAAACCGACAAATCGACTTGAATTAAGCGGAACAATCGACTCGAATCAAGCCCAAAAATCGACTTGAATGTGCCTATTTGTATCTCTCCGAGTCAGACTTGATTCATGCCGATACCCTGACGATTTTTCGATTTGATTCAGGACGATTTTTTTTGCGTAGTACCTCGTACATAGATTGGACTGTACAATTTATATAAAGCCCATGAAACCTATATCCCGTGAATACATTTTTATTACAGATAGTAATGGGCTTAACATTACACGTGACTGCTTCCGATGATGGAGCGCAGTATCCGATTGAACGCGCTTTCCAAGTGGATTTGATTGATCAACTCAGTCCGGAAAACAGTGATGAGCGTGGAATATACGAGAAACGATATGTCAAGAGTGGCTATTTGCGCGATTACACCCACGAATCCCGGAAAATCAGGCCGTTCAGTCGATACGGACCTCCGCGACACACGAGTATAACCGGATTCACGAGGCCTCAATCCCCGAATGAACTTAATTCCTGGTCTCAACAGCCACGTAAACACCCTAATGATCCACCTGCTCCCGAGAGAATGCCCCCGGTGAGCAAGAATAATGAGCCACATCGGAATGCGAAACTGCGAGTACCAAGTCCAATTCGAGACGTCGATTTCAGGGACGACGATCCCATTGCTAGTCAGAACAACGAGCCGTTTCAACACAACGTCGCTAATTACTTACCCCCGAAAAACCAAAAATTACCGAATTTGTCGTCATTCCACGTGTTCCAACGGCCGGGACCGACGCATCTGCCTGACAGTCAGCGTTACACCATTCACAACACAGTGTTTAAGAACGATAAGATAAAAAATGATTACTCCCAAATATCGGACGCGACATTTTTCTTGACGAAGAACGCGGCGGCCCTGTCGACACTCTACGGCGCCCCGGCGGCGAACACGAACTATCCGCCGTTCGAGAATGTTCCAAGTCCGAATGCAGACGATGCAGTCAAGTCCTCCCAGAGCTTTCGAAATGTTCCCGAGAGAGCAAAGACGACTTCGCAGACTCCAAACGTCATATCGTTAATCAACACATTGCAGCCCAGTAAGCTGCAGGGACCGACGCATCTGGCTGACAGCCAGCGTTACAACATTCACAACACAGTGTTTAAGAACGAAAAGATAAAAAATGATCATTCCCAAATATCGGACGCGACATTTTTCTTGACGAAGAACGCGCCGGTTCTGTCGACACTCTACGGCGCCCCGGCGGCGAACACGAACACTCCGCCGTTTGAGAATGTTCCAAGTCTGAATGCAGACGGTGCAGTCAAGTCCTCCCAGAGCTTTCGAAATGTTCCCGAGAGAGCGAAGACGACTTCGCAAACTCCAAACGTCATATCGTTAATCAACCCATTGGAATCGAGTGAACTGACCAAATTATGCAGTGAGGATCATCAGAATACGCTGAAGCCCGTGAAATTGACGCACAAAGAGTCGGTATTTTCACCGAACGATTGGAATCGCCAGCTGGCAGTCCCCGTTACGAATTATCCATCACCGAGTGACATATCTCTGCCATCGATTCCAACCGCATCAACAATTTCGTCTAGCCACGTGCTTGATTTGCGGCCACAAGGAGAGCCCACTGTATTTCCATATCCGCAATACAGCGGACTTGTTCCTCTCATCAGTCATGTACCCAGTTACGGGTTGACTGTGAGTTCTGGAATTTCTCCGGCTGTAGGATCTATCCGGGATTCCTCGGCGACGCATTTTGGACTGGCGCTGCCAACGATCGCGGGCGAAAGAGAAGGTGCGACGGCTAGTGCTCCTGCGGGTTTATCTGGAGCTTTCGGGCCATCGCACTATCCCGGGTCGATTCCCATTCAGTCCCCTGTACCTATTCAACCTGTCTTCTCGATTATTCCTTCGGTAAATTCGATACAAGATTCCCGGATTTCGGCGTTTCCGGGGTATGGGGCTCACATGGCTTCTGTCAATTCTGGGTTTTGAGGGCTTTGGGGTGCTGGGGCTATCGATATCTACACAGCAGAAAATTCGGTTGATTCTGGAATTTAGGGTGGAGAATAACGTCGGTGTTGACGCTAATCATGAGGAGGTGTAATGAGTAACACTGCATGGAGTGAATTCAGTGTGAACTCAGTGCAGTTCACACTGAATAGTGTGAAATGGACATTTTTGAATTTTTCACGGTGTCAATAAAATTATCAACACCGCTCTCAGTTTAACGAAGGGCTCGGTTTAATTTCACTCCGAAGTTTGGTTGATTCTAACACCAAAATATTTCACTCCGCACATCATGGACTTAAACACTGTGGATTTTTTACTGTGTACACAGTAAAAAATTCTATGTTGGTTCTGACACCAAATCGGTGTCCCGGAAGGTCCACAACGTTCCCGGTTTGGACTAGTGGTGTTAAAAATTTGGTGTGAAGAATAACTTCGGTGTTAACGCTAATACCGAGGAGGTGTAACGAGTAACACTGCATGGAGTGAATGATAACACTGACTCAGTGCAGTTGACACTGAACAGTGTGAAATGGACACTTTTGAGAACGAGTAACACTGCATGGAGTGAATGATACCACTGACTCAGTGCAGTTCACACTGAATAGTGTGAAATGAACATTTTTGAATTTTTCACGGGGTCAATAAAATTATCAACACCGCTCTCAGTTTAACGAAGTGCTCGGTGTTAATTTCCCTCCGAAATTTGGTTGATTCTAACACCAAAATATTTCACTCCGCACACCACAGACTTAAACACCGTGAATTTTTTATTGTGTACTATTGAATGGGTGAATAGCTTATGAATATATTCGGGCTTTACCCGATTCACAGACAATATCATCGCCAGTCGTGTGTCTCTGGATTCCACGAATGTCAATAGATGGACACGTGCTGAAAAATTTAATGGAAAATCCCATTCGCTGGGAAGTTCTATTGGATTTCTATTTGTTTCTCGTCCGTTTTATTGAAAAATTCCACAGCTTTTCTCCGAGTCTTTCTGGATAGAAATATTTCGTAGAAATTGGAAAAAGGAGTTGCATAGAAAAATCGAAATCTATTCAATACTTCCTATTTAAAGATATGCGGAAAAATCTATTCCAAATAATTTCCGAAGTTTAAGGCAAGTTTAGATTTGTTACGAATTTTTGTTGTCAACATTCGAATTTGTACACCTGTTGGAATTTCAGGGATGAAAACTATACAATATCCCCTCTTCATCTAATTTATTATCCAATTTTAATTATTTATAATATGTAATCATTCATTAATAATACACTTCATGTCGTATTGTCAAATTACTTTGTATGTTTTTATAATTATAACGTCGACATAATTTAATTGAATAGTTAATTACTCTCGTAATTAATAATAATGTGATATTTTGGTCGGATAACGATATGGAAGTACAATTAAATTAAGCAATTGTTGAAATGATATGATTGAAATACTACCGTAGAATGGCCCACGCATTCCGCTGTTTGCAAGAAACGAGATGGAGTTAAAATAACGAGGTTTACACTGGGAAATTGAGTTTATATGATTGCTCCATTCATTGTATGTTTTGATATCATTCATTCACTCTGTGTAAATACATTACGTGCGCAACTCCTCTGATTCAACT